ACAGTTGATAAATCCTTTTAATATATTTAATGGTTTATAAAAACATCGTAATCATTACCCAGCAATATTTAGGGTTACATAAAGTTTTCTTTACTTGATTAATATAATTAGTAATACTTGAGATAAAAGCATTTGTACGGAATAACAAAGGAACATAAATATTTCTCAGCAAACTTTATATCTAAAAAATTAGTTATAGTTGCAAAACTTTTGTAACATTACTAAAATAGAGATTAAAAACACGAACAGTGAGTAATAATGTAATTTCTATCACAGAACCTTCAAAATTGCATCCAACATTTTCTTTGACTTGGACGAGAGATGGGCGCGAGTGTCATTTCATTTCTTTAGAACTAAATTAACATAATTCTCGTTGTTTTACCAGTTCACATGATTTACGGATTTTAAATAAAGGATACAAATCTTCGCGAGGATAATACGATATATTTGCTATATATAATAATTATATTGTACGTAGTTTACACACAATACATTTTTGAACGCGTACGCATCTTTACCCGAATTTGACGCGCAATATCTCCGATGTCCGAGGTCTGTAGGTTCGCAGTGTGTACAACTGCTAGTCAATTATTAGCGCTATTGCCACATCTACATAGTCTTTATGCGTTCATTAAATATAATTTAAAACTACTTAAATATGATATTTGTGTATGATATATATGTGCATATTAGTAGATTTCTTTGCTATACTCGTATGTATATAGATAATGTTTATCGTAAATAATTTCAATAGAATTTAATTTTTTCAAATTGGCAGCGGGCTTTAGCCCCATAAGAAAAGCATAGGACCCCCCCTGCGTTCCTCACTTCCCTCGGACCCCGATATACCTCCATAAGTGTGCACATGGTGCTTTCGGACCATTAGTTTTGCCACAATTACAATTTGAATTTTTTGGTGTCCTATTTTGCAAAATGAACTGAAAATACGTGTGAAAATGTATGTATTCGCAGCGTTCATAGAATTTTAATCAGGTGAACGTTTAAGTATTATGTCTTTTCCGTGTGGCAGATTTACATACCAACAGGTCTTGATAATGATATTATAGAAAATAACACAAATCCACAAGTCGCTGTGGTCTCTGACGTCTGTAGATGTATATTTCTGTTATCCTCAGAAACCAATCTAGTGAACGGCACTTGTTTCGAATTATTTTGGTTTTCGTCGCCAAAAACCATTTACGATTCATCCATTCACATAATTTTCTTGTTATTTTAAGTTACTAGTTTAGTTTACTATCCTATTTTGCTTTTTTATATATAACCTCAAAGTCGTTAATAAAATAAATGTCTTCCGTCTCTACAATTTCACACTGAAACTCCTCTAAATACGAGGAAAATTATGCCTCAGAACCAAACCACTGTTGCATATAAGAATAGCTACGTTATCGTAATTTGCAAGTAAGATCAGCATGTTTTATTAATTAATCGAGCCCCGCCCACATAACTGAATAAAACTTGGTATAAATAAACTAGGATCCTGTTTTTGTTTTTCGATTGCTACGTAAACATAAATGAATACGATCATACGTGAGGGTTTAGTTAGACCATTATCTTTGTCCTCGTTATTCTTATGGTTTTAGAGACAGACAACAGGCTCATCAGTAGGATCGGTGATCTTGTCCTTCGGAAATTAAACCAGTTTATGTTAAAAAGTGTCGTTAACAAGGTTTTAATGTTAAATTTTACGCCTGTTCGATTTCATGTGCCATTACATTCAAAACCAGCAATCCAAAATGCCACAGCTGTTAGCGAACCATTAGATTTCTCATTATAGCTTCCGAAGGCCCCTAATTACACAGCCCCACAAAAAAAGGATCGGATCTAGTATTCAGACCCATGTAGGTATTTCCACGTATTTTTTCCGCTGAATCCGAATTTGCCTTCAGATTTGGCCCAACGGGTCCTAGTTTTCAGGAAAATTAAGAGAACAGGTCAAAATCACAAAAAACGTCATTTATGATCGACGAAAGTTATAAAAAATCAAATTATTCTACCAGCTCACTAGAAGTATGATTTTTCACTCGTTTAATTCCAATTTATCATCATAGAGTCAGACAAGCTGGTCCAATGTTTGTTTTGACCTTGATAATATGCACATTTCATGCAAATAGACATAAATATAATAACTTAATTATTACTTTGTATAAAAAATAAAATAGTGACGTAAATAATTATTTCTCACAATTACATTTAGAAATAATTTTCCACAACAATCGATTCGATGACGGTTTCTTCCATTTTATGGATACCATCTTCGACCAACGTAACATTGAAAGTATACAACTAGCTCTTTGATAAAGCATAGGTATTAAATTTAATCAAAAAATGATATCTTGATATAACTAAAAGTCAAAACGAAAAAAGATATATAAAAACTGCTGACATTTTCTCGTCTTTGTTTCCTACTGATTACAAAAAATGCAAAGGTTGCAAGTTAATGCATGCAAACCTTGTATGAAAGTTCACCGTTTATATATGGCTCCTTAAGGTCAATAACAACAATTGTCTCGTTCAACGCTTTTCGCGATTATAGTTCACATCGTTATCGATGCCACTTTCTTCTGACAAATACTTAGACTTTCACAATGGTCGCATGGGTTATCATTGACATTTACACATTGTAAAACAATAACTATTGTCCTTAGGCGTATACTTAATCATACAGGTGAGGTTCTCATCAACATTCTTCCAATGAAACGAGACTATTTAAATAAACAACTTAAGTTATGTTAAGTGACTATAAAATCATTAGCATCCTCGCTTATTTATAGAAATTACCGAATAGCGAGAGAAACGTACGAGGGAAGTCAAAATGTTGCACTTGTTCCGCTAAAACGTCAATACCGCCCCAAAAAAGTTTAAGAACCTCTGTTTTACTAGATGACTCAACGGCATAGATACAAGAGATGTTTTAATATTTCCATCAATTGCAAGGTCGACACGATTATTAAATTTAAATTAGCTGTTACATCCTGACTTCACTAATTCACTTACAGATGTCGAAAAATCATACAAACATGCATTGATTTATACAATTTAAGTACATATATGTGCTTCCAACGTTGCAAAGGTGATTCATAGTTGGAAGCCAGTCTTAATTGGCATAAAATCGACTTAGCAGAAGGTGACGTGAACGCTGACATCGAATTATAAGGCAAAGGAGGCCATTGAAATTCTTCAACTGACCATAACTCCATTTCACATGGTTATGTGACCACGCGTGGAACCTCACTATGCCGTGTATATATCTCGCTAAAGAACAGGGCTTTGTATAAGACAATCACATTAAAGATAGATCAAAATTAACATACAGTGGCTACAGAAGTAACTGGGTAAGTTATTCTGCTTTTGTTTTTGTCTCTAATCTTTTATATAAGGTCGCCGATAGGTATGGAAGCGGTCGATTATCTCCTAAAGTAAGATAGCTATCGAAAAATCAAGACGCAAACGTTCTAGGGTTATTAAAGAATCTATTACAATAAAGAAAAATTAAGTACATAGGACCAGTAAAAACACATTTCAATTCTTCTCGAAATACTAAACAAAATTCATATAGCACATCATGCACCTAAACTTAACAGTTTTCGAGATATCGAACTTTGAAAGTAACTTTTTCTACTCTCAAATTTATAAAAGAAAAAGGACCACAAATTATGGATATTTATTTTGAAAATAACACAAGGTGGAGGACACGGATATGATTTAATTTTATTATTAGTTTTTTTACAAAAAATTATTTTTTAATGAATGTCCTGGATATTTTAAATTTTATGAAAATAATAGTTATGCTAGGATAGAAAAAAAATAAATAAAATAAAATAAATATTTTCTTTGGTATTCCATTTTATAAGGTGCTCAAAGTGTTCACCAACATGTATAAAATAAAAACGCCTAGAAATAAAATGCTAAAGGTAATAAATAATAATTTGCATATGTGCAGAAAACTTCTATTATATGTTCATTTGGCCAACAACATATTTTAATTAATTATGTCCCCGAACAATTTTATTATATCGACGGTAAATTTCGTTTTGTTCCGTTTCAAAAGGTCTCCAAAATGCCATGTTGTAATAATATTAGTAAACAAAATATCCCTCTCATTTCTCCCTTTCACAATTGTAATATCAATGATTAATAAAAGGTGCCTACAATAAATTAAAACTACCTGAATCACAACAAATTCCGCATTACTGCACTGCACTGCTAGGCAATTTGTCAACAACTTGTCAACAACTGAGATGTATTGCCCAGTTGCCCAGTGCAACTGTATTATACGCTAATTACCCGCGCGCGCATTCCTCAACTGGGCGTATACATTTTTACCACTCCCACGTTTATTCGACCAGACCTGTATTTGGGTATGTCTAAATAAATATGGGAACAAGTTTTTCAAATTTCAAGTCTTATCCTTTCCTACAACTGTTCGATACTTTGCGGCCTAGTTTTGTAGACTACATATTTATGTGACCCCATAGAAAAAAGTGAAGCGGGGTCATATCGGGAGACCTAGCTGGGCATTCAATTGCCCCTTTGCGTCCAATCCATTTATCAGGAAAAGTTTCACCTAGATATCGGGATGCAATTGATGAAAAATATCCACTACCAACCTTCGCAATTTCGTATTCTATCACATATTCTATGATCATTAAAACCTTAATACGTTCGGTTTCACTTAAACGTGTCAATATTCACACTAAATGCATTATTTCACACTAAATGCATTATTGACATGTGTATTAAGATAATCAGTATTAGACAAAAGAACGACGCGGCGTTGTTATGGAACTAGAAACTTTCAAAGATAACTTGATGGACTATGAACTTAATGGACTAAAACATGTTTATGTAATTTATAAGAAAATGATTTTCAAAGTTCTCGGAAAGGTTAAGTTAGGTACATGATGTGCTATATGAATTTTGGGTTATTTACTTTACTACTTTAACTGAATTGAAATTTAAAAGAAAAACGTCTATTTCAGGACTGCCAGAAGACGAAGATGATCGTCAAAGCGACGACGCTACTGTTACTTTTCCGCTGCTGTCAGGTATGGGCGCAAGTCGACAACGCTTGTTGCGGTGGCAGGAACCTTATCACGGTAGAAAAGAAATGCCTCGACGGTGAAATGAGAAAATTGTCTTGCGATTCTCTGATAATGGTGTACGCTAACGACAGCGAGATGTCCGTTGACGTAAAGGGCAATCTGATGTACGTGGACAGCGACGAATTCATATCTCCAAACCAGTAAGTGAACATGTGGTTAAATTATATCTTTGTGAGGGTTATCATCTATTTTAATACGCTTTCCTGCGCTATTAAAAAATTAAGTTTAGTTCAATGGGGTCCAACTTATAGTGGTATGGTGACGATCCAACATTTCACGTATTTGGCTTATTCTTTTTCTACAATTGCTAGTAATTGTATGTTTAACTTTTTTACCATAACGTTTTCTATTAAGCCATTCCATGATTTCCCCAGTTCTCCACGCAGATGTTGGCCATTTTGCTATTCTACGACTATGGTGAGGCGCATTATCTATGACAATCACTACAAACCATTATTCGATTACCCCACTGTCCATATCCCCATTGTAAGCTCCTATTTCGATAAAAATCCTCAGTCACTTTCGACATCTGTAATTACTAATCTCCGTCCTTTTCAAAAGGATGTTTTTATCCCGTACAACTCCTAAAAATGATTATCGTCTGTTGTTGATATTTAAATCTTGCCAAACCTTGTAGACCGTATGTCCTTCATTTTCCTACGTTTCAACAACCACGAGTTCAAAAGCTTAGTTTTTTCTTTTTTTTTTTTTATAAAAAATATCCATTCCCTCATGATCACATAAACCAAGTGTGTCATGAGACAAAAAGTGAGATACAATACACAATTCTCACACACAACATTGTTATAAAATGAAAGACATACATTCGTTGATTGATAACACAGGTCAACAAGGGTCAAGAAGCAGACACACTAATATGCATTCCCGAAGGATTTTGGTGCGCTGAATCCGAACCTGCCACAGAATTGCTCTATCACGTCAGGTTGTTGAGATATCCTAACCTAAAAGTGCAAAAAACACTGTTTTTTCGTCATATTTGAGGTTATGTAGTAATTCTTTTTTTTTTAAATAAGTACATATAATTTAAAAGTACGAGGCTCCCTCTTTCGAATGCCGTTGAGTTTGCTCCAATATCTTTTTTTTTTCGTTGAGATATCACATGTTGAAATTTCCAATTTATCAGTTTCTTAATATGCGAAAATCTACTAAGGATCCCTTAGACGTCAAACAGTTGATTGCAGTTCAGAAACTTCATACTCAGAAACCTTTAATCCATACGAACTCAAACTCACAAACTCCAAATCCACAAACTCACAAACCCCAAACCCACAATCCCTAAACCCACAAACCCCAATCCCACAAAACCCGAACCTACAAACTCAAAACATACAAACCCCAAGCCCACCAACTCCAAACCCACAAACCGTATGGGTATGAAGTCTAAGGGATCCTTAGTAGATTTTCGCATATTAAGAAAACTGAGAAACTTAAAAATTTCAACATGTGATATCTCAACGAAAAAAAAAAAAGATATTTGAGCAAATTCAACGGAATTCGAAAGAGGGAGCCTTGTACTTTTAGATTCAATGTATTAGTTCTTTGAAAAAGAATCGATGGCATTACTACATAACCTCAAATATGACGAAAAACAGTGTTTTTTGCACTTTTAGGTTAGGATATCTCAAAAACTTGACGTGATAGAGGAATTCTGCTGCCAGATTCGGATTCAGGGCACCTAAATCATTCGGAAATATATATTCAAATTTCTGCTTCCAAAAAAAGTTAATTTTGTTGGTCTGTGTAATAATTGTATTGAGAAAAGTAATAACCGTTCCCGGCATTTCAGGTACTGCGTGTCGAAATTGCAGAAAAACAACAGAGACATCTACACCATTTGCTACGAAGAAGAACCGCAAGATGTGAGAATTATTAACGTCACACTCTCGTTTGTTTCCGTCTTTTTCATCATACTGACGATATGCGTCTACATGATGGTCCCCCAGTTGCTAGACACCCAGGTAAGTTCAGACTTCAACCAAAAACGTTTTTTTGCTGCATTTTACTCACACCGTTTGTGGGCACACAAGCTACTACATACAAGGCGCGTCCAAAATAAACAATTTTGAACAAGCGGCATCGCAAATTACAAATTTCTTTGCACCAAAAAGTTATTTGAGTTTCAAACTAACTCCATTTTATAGAAAATCTGCTTTAGAATGGGGGAAAGTCTGTTATTTGTGCATTAATTCACATTTAGATAAACCCTGTAATAAAATCTATAAAAATGTATTGCTGGTGGCATAATATTTCTTATACTGATCTCAATGTCTCAGGGCATATGCCTGATGCAATCCATAACCGGACTGGGCCTCAGCTTCATCCTCCTGGGCGTCATCAACCTCACCCAGTTCATCCCCCACCACCACTGCCGGCTGATCGCCTACTTGATGTACTTCTCGTTCTTGTACGCCTTCTTCTGGCTGAACATCCTCTGCTTCCACATTTGGAAAATGATAGTGTAGGTATTTCCTTTTTTTGCCTCGCTCTTTTTTAAATGAGACTTCATTTTCCAGTAATCCGCAGATATTGCGGTCTATTAAACGCTGGAAGATGATCTACCACATAGTCGGCGTCGGTGGATCCCTGCTCCTCCTGCTGTTCGTGCTCACGGCTAACTACTCGGGCTACGAGTTTTTCAACGGCATCCACCCGGGGATAGGCGACGCGAAGTGTTGGTTCAAAGGTGAGTGTCAAAGATCATTTATTCTGAATAAACTTTAAAATGATATGTGAACATCCTGAAGTCCAGTACTGACATCTTTTCATGTTTACCGGATATGAATACTCACATTTTATTTCTTAGGGCACTAATTGATATTAAATTTCTCTAGTTCCTATTCCAATATTTTATCTAAAAGCACAAATCAGTTTTATTGCCTGAAAAGCTATACTGGCGATGAAAGTTATTCTTGAAGATAGGTCTAAACGTTGATTCCATGTTTCAGATTCAACGACTACCTTCATATACTTCTACGGGCCCATATCGGTGTTGCTCTGCATCAATATCGTTTACTTCGTGTGGACCACCATGGTGTTGTGTGAACAGATGAAACGGTGCTCAGAAAAGACGGCCAAAGTACAGAAATTCAGGTAATTCTGACACAATCTTAAATAAATCAAAACATCACTAACCGTAACATAAAGCCTCACATCTAACATGTCATCGTCTAGTGACGTCATTATCAGTGGTCTAGCTATCGCAAACTGCGGAAGTTGGGCGAGGAAAGTGAGTAGGGCCGGACCAGGAAGCGCAGCGTATATCTTTGTGACCGGCAAATTCCAAACGTTGACATTATTCTATTGAAAAATAAATTTATCATTTGCATTGTTTTAAGATCATAGATATTACTGCATTGTTTACAAAAACATTTTAAAGAAGTTAAGATTGTAAAATTAGACCATGATCTCTATCTCAGATTAATAATCCCGTTTGTTTATTATTAAAAATAGTGATTAGTGAAATTTTAAATCATATGAGAAAATAAAAAAAATAGTACTGAAGTAGGCGCACCATATTAGGAAGCCAAAAATATTTATTTACTTAATCCTTTCAACAGAAAAGTTGGGGAAAAAGATTTTTTCAGCCCAAAGTGAAATACACCGTGGCACAAAAAAGTTTTGGCAGCTTAAATGCGTCCTAATGGTCGCTTGTGGCGCCCTCTAGAAGATACAACGAAATCGTCCATAAATTCGAATTTCTCATCCCAAAAAAACCCCGGATACGAAATTGTAACTAGTGAGGTAACTTACCCCCTAGAGAAAAAAAAAACGATTTCGAGTTATAAATTTTATGAACAAATAAATAGAAATACTTGATGAACATTACATTTTATTAATTATTATGAATGAATATTTATAGTAATTGTACAGTTATTACATTTAGTAATATTTATAAAATCTGAATAATTATTCTCCTCACGTTTACTAATTGTCACATTTTTCTCAAAATGATTTAGCCGCTCCATTTTAGTCACAGGAGGCTCAATATTATGTGACTGTTGAAAACTGTTGGCTATTTCATTTTTGTTACTTAAACTGTCAGCAACATAACTTTCTGCAATTGTGACTGATTTTCACCCATCATATCTCTTGATTGCCAATACATCAACTCCTGTATTAGCCAGTAACGTTACCGATGTTCTTCGGAATGAATGGCCTGTATATGTTTCAGGATGTTATAGTTTCAAAAACTGTGCAATCTTATTAGGTGTCATAGAAAGAGTATTCTTGCCGACTGGTTGGTTGTAATATCTACCTGCTTGATGGCGCATAAAAAAGCGTGAAATTTTAGTTTTAATTTCCAAACTATTCTTGATATATTTCTTGAGAATTTCTAAGTGAGAAACAGAACCCAGACGAGAAGTAAACGTACGTGACATGCCATTGTACTGTAACTACAATAAGGTCATCCAAATTTTTGAAATTGACGTTGTCCAAAGGAAGTTTGCATAATTCATCAGAAATGCATGCTCCTGCAATGCCTAAGACCGTCACTACCTTCATTAGCAAATATGTGTTATCGGGTGCCTGAACGAGAAAATCGTTGACTTGTTCTTTTGTAAAAACGTTTGACTTTTTAGGCGTATAGCCGTCATTCAAAAATGCTTTCAGCTTGGGGTATTTTGATATATCCACGTTTTGCTTTGAGTATTCACTCCACAAACTCGCCGTTGATTTTAAAGTTCTCGACTTCTCCATGAAATATGCTAGCAGTGACAGTATTTTTGTTCTGGCACCATTCTTTGAAATTTCTATATGTTTGTCTCGGGTTATAAAAATTCGCAGGTAGCATTTGCTGCGCTTTCTATTTGAATATCATTTAGAAATAATAATTCAAAACCAACAAAATTGCAACTTTTAGGTAGCTTCATTTATAAACACTTTAGAAACGACAAAATCCAAACAACCAAGGCGATTTTGCAAGATTTCGAATAATGTCAAAATTAATTGATTAAGAAATGTCAAAAAATAAAACTTAATCTTTATTTCATGAACCATAAAGAACTGTAGGAGCGAATAAAATGTTATACACCACGCAGCAGTTAAGTATAATCTATCAGTCTCGGACTCTATTGTCAGCCCTCGCTCCGCTCGGGCGCAAAATCGTCCTCGTTTGGTAAATAATACTTAGGTACCTCCTTTATGGTGTAAAAAACTATTGGACTAAGACAAGTTTAGTTAAATCGACCTATTTTGAGCCATACCATATAAAAGATGCGCTGACAATGTTATTAATAACTATATTAAATAACAACGGGCCCAGGATTGATCCCTGTGGTCCCTTGACAGGCCTGGAGAACTGTTCGAGGTGAAACCCCTATAACATGCAAATTGCTGTCTACTACAAAGAGATAAACAGTGAAATGAAAGACCATACACTCGATATCGTTTCGTTTCATTGCTTTATCGAATCCCATATCTGTCATGGAGCCTTTGTCTCTGTTCTTACAAAGAAATATTCGTTCTAGGTTACTCCTATGCATCAAACTGTTCTTCGTCATGGGCATATCATGGATATTCGAAGTAGTGTCGGCTCTATTCGAAGAAAACACCTCCAGGTGGATCTGGTAAGCAATACTTCAAAAACGGTAGAAAATAAACTAAATCCTGCCGTTATTTCCAGGGTTATACCTGACGCCCTTAACGCTCTCCAAGGCTTCCTCATATTCTTAATACTGGTCGTCTTCCGGAAGAAAGTCGTCAGAGCCCTGGCGAATAAGAAAATCTTCAATGCGGTAAGGCTGCCCGCCAAGTGGAAGAACGCCCAGGACGACGAGTGCGAAGAACTGGAAGAGGAACTGAGCCTCTCGGCTGTCTACGAGAAAAACGAGAAGAAAGCGGACATACCCGCTTGAATACTTGAAAGGGAAACGGGTGCCTCCAGCCGTATTATTCTGTATATGAGAGAGAGTTGAAAATTTTCCAGTCTAGGCTATGTAAGAAAGCAGACATTCAATTTTTCGGACATAAAAAATAATTTCCTTAATATCCAATGAAAAGCGAGGATAATGGAAGACTATAACAATATCGTACTGAATATATAGGGTGGCTCAAATTATAAAAGTTGCCTAATATTTTACTAAAACGTTCCTCGAAATTAAGTCATCTGGAAAAGACACTTCTTTTTTATTTTGGCCCTTAACTTTATAACGTTAATAATTTAGTGGAATTTGGTTTTTGGGCATAAGACTCTACTGATCGCAACAGTTTTTCCATATTTTTCGCTGTTTTTGAGATGCAAAAATTTACTTTTTTCTTGTTGCTAAATACTTGTTTTGATTGGAAAATTTTCGCCCAACCCTCGTAAGTGATTCGGATTTAAAGCGCGTTGTTTTGATATTAGAGACATTAAAACGACAGCTTGGTGGATCCTACGCTTAATAGCTCGGACCTAGAAAAAATAGACTGCGCGCTGCTGCACAAAACCGGCGACCTAAAATCCATGGCCAACGTACAAGGTCCAACCTCTCTGACGCTTGCTTTACGCCAGCACCAAGAACAGATTTACACAAAACCTTCATCAGGCCAAATAGTACTTTAAAATTCACCGTTTTCTTTCGTGAAATTAATTTGTTTGACCTTAGTTGGCCATTTTTTAGGTACCTCGCCATGGAGGCGCAATTTCGATTGTTTCTAGATCCGTGCATAACTTACTCGGATTTTTAAGTTGGCCATGTATTGGCATGGTAACGTAGTGCGAATCGCACGTGTCATTACGCATAAATTGTGGATTTACTCTCGAAATGGTCCCGATCTAACAGCAGGGGTCTAAAAGTGCGACGCTTTAATTAACTAAAGGTATAATTGTAAGAAAATGTTTCTAGTCTATAAATATTAATTATCTACAGAGCATTGTGACTGCAAAGAAATTACTCGGCCCAAGAAACTTTTTCTGGTGTATTTCCCTCTAAACGAGTTTCATTTCATGTCAGTGACAATGTCTTATGTTGTATTTTATGTAAACGTCAAAGTTATTTGGCCCGTTCCACCGAATTTGACTATTGTCAATTTTCTTTACAGTATATAGTGGAGCAAACCTATTATAACGACGTATATATTCTCAGCAGTGCCAAGAATAATTATAATGTTCTCTATTTTTTACGTGTAATGTATATAAACGTTGTAATAAATAAAATATACTTAATTAATTCTCGAATAGAAATGTAAACTTTTATTTCGATTAAGGAAGCTTCTTTCTGTTTGATATTATAAGCAGAATGCGACAGATCCAATGTATAATACAGTAAATGTCATATTGCGCATCCCTACGGCCATGTTATGACGTCAGGTGGAGATTAACTAACGATTTTTAACATTAATGCCTATTAATAACGACTTCTTCAACTTCGTTCCGTTTTTGGTTGTACAACGGACTACCAAAGCAAATCCTTTAATAAAGACATGATGTTTTCCATTATCCAAATAATGAAAACATTTTAAAAATCTGGGTTGAATCTTGACGACGTAAATATATATTCAACACCAAAAATTTGTTCGAGGCATTTTAAAACATCATACTATGTTGGTAATTATAAAATTTTATTCAAAAACTAGCAACCACCGAATTTTTATTTTCAAATTTTACCTCTTTTAAAACAGTTTAAATGTTTGACAAAAAATTTGTCGTATCCAAGAAAAATTCTGAAAAACCTGCACAAGAATCACCAAATAATGTTGAAAATAGTTTTTATTAGACACGTAATCATAAACGATTAGCATAACTTCATTAATGAAACACTTAAATCACTCTCCACGTGGCGTAATGCGATAAGCGAACCGATTTTAATTCACGGGAATATCATACCTTCTAGTCTTTGTAACAAGAGTATACGTAGCATAATATTACATAAAACAGTCTATATTTTTTTTTAATGATCAATGAGATCGATGTTTTTATACATCTCAATACATTTTTTGCATTGTCTGTAATATTAGTCATTATTAAAAATGATAAAATAATGAATATTATGCAACCAGTAATACACCAATGTCGAATTATTAGTCATCTAATTAAGTTCATACATTGACAGGAAATAATATATACAGATGCAATTTACAATTATTGCCCCATAAAAAAATTATTGGAAAAAGTATAATTATTGTACGAAAAAAGTGTGTCTGAATTTAGGGTTAAGTTTAATAGAAAGGTACCATTGATCTAATAGCACAACTGGATGGTACTTCGGCATGAACACAAATATTCAACAAGCACATCAAAAATGACCAGAATGTAATAAAATATTCCTGATATACATAATACAATATTTTGCAAGGAAAGATGAGTGAATACCTTTTTACTGCTTGCCTTTCTAGCAACACATTTGTCAATACTCTTTTAGAGTGACGTCACAGATTTAGGCAACCCGAAACAAATGGTCATAGTTGAAATTGTACAGATCGAATTTGACCTGTTTACGATTTACATAGATACTATAGAAATGAACAATTTCAAATTAACTTATTTTTACAAGGATTTAGAAGTATTTAAGAACAGTCAATACGTGTTTCGTAAAATAAATACACTAATTTGTTTAAAACGTGCAAAAAACGATAAAAAAGAATATTCTTAAATTTAAATAAAGGAAAGATTTAACATTAGCCGTGTTATCCCTAATGCGCATGCTCGGGAAGAATAGTCTCATATGCAAGTGGAGATCTTGTTGATATATCATCGCTGTCATCATTAGCGTATTTTCTCTTATTTTTTTTTAATTTTGGCATTTTCTAGTTCTACCAAGTATTTTTTATCGTTTTTCTTGGTGCTCTGCTGTGTCAGTCTGTATATCGGGTGTTTTTTTTTCTTCAAGTGGTTTATTATAGACATATAGACGTACTCTTAACCAACACCAAAATTTTCTTGAATGAAATCCTGTTGCGAGGCTACTTCGCTTACATGCAATTATATTTGATGCGCATGTTCAGTAACATTGATATAATTTTAATTTATTAATTACTATAAAAGTCTATATTGTTTATAAATTTAAAAATATAAATTCTATAATTCTCTTACTTTGTCACTTGGAGTTTGAAACTTCTTAAATATTTCTAATATTGCTCTATTTTCGCGACATTTAAGGTCATTACTCATCACAAAGAAGACATTTTTTTGGCACTTATGTCCAAAATAAGGTAATCAATCGATCTAGTAAAAATACTGGGAATTCTTCATGACAATGTGCACTGTGTGGTTGTCTATTATTTGGTGTATGTGACGTCACTATTAAAAAGTCTATTGGAACGTCATTTCATTTCAAGCTTTTTAGTAATCACTTAGGATGCAACTGTAAATAATTATTTATTGAAAGAACAAGTTGGTTAAAAACATGAGCGAAGAGCTTTTTTTTACACGTGTCTTTCATCGTTTAGTTTTATGCTAATTTATAAAAATGAAATTTTTTAAAAATTTAAAAAATTTTCCAAAGAACCTATCAAATGAAGTCAAATATCAATACCAAAAACTTATTTTTTCCATTTTGAATATTCTTAAACTTCATTAAAATAAAGTAAAAGTAATAAAAGAAAAATCTGACATGTAATACACACTAGACCTAAAAATTTTAAAAAGTCCATCCGTTTAGTTCATGTATCCATGGTATGCTTCGACGGCAGACGGCATCAGTTACCTATCCGGAAATAAATTTGAAAATTACCAGACGGTAAACGATGACAAATACTGTTGCTTTCATTTTAAGTTCGCGGTAATACGACTGTTGCCTAGTGAATGTAGAATTTAGCGAAAAATATAGTTATTTCGTGTGAATTAAATAATCGAAACAAGAATACTGGTGATTCAGTTGCAATGCCCAGGATTTAGTTTCCATAAAAAGAAATCCGTCCATGCCTGAGTTGGCCTCCAACGAAGAGGCTCGAACAAAAGAATAAGACAAAACAAATGTTAAATAAGGCCAGGATAAAAATAAGAATATCAGAGAAACGCGAAAAACACAAAAACAAAACTACAACATAACCTCACTGTTGTTCTCTTACTTTTGAAAATGATATTTGTAAGTTTTAGTTTATACGTTGTCCTCACTTGCGTGTACCCAGAATTAGTCGATGGTGAGGTGGTAAGGGGCACTGTAAATACAAAGGTGAGAGTCAACAAATGCTGCGAGGAAAACGAAATATATCTAGGGAAGTCCTGTACGAGGATAAACAAAACTAGCGAGCAGTGGAAGCCCTCGTTTACATCAGAAAATGGAAATACCAATTTACAAATCGAATACATGTAAGTCAATGTTATGATAATTGAACTACATACAATTTTAATGACAAAACTTTCAGGTTGGTGACGGGATCACCGGATTGTGGCCATGTGCAAACGTGGGAGATACACCAGACCCAGAACTCCACCGACCATCTACTTCTTTTACCAAACGGTGTACTGAGGCATTTTATAAAACACTTTGAGGTACCCGAAGAAGAATATTACATAACGGGTTACGAAGATGACGAGAAAATGCTTTATCAAGACTACGAACCTGGAAAATACTGCTTGGACAAGGTAAGACATAAAAACGATTTGTATGGAGTGATCTTTTTTTTTTCACCCTACTTTTTAGTCTGACGACAATTTGAAGGGCAAATATGCCAAGGTCTGCAGCCCCGACATCCTAAAAGACTTGTTCACGACCGAGTTCCTAATGCACAACGTCGTTAATCCAATAACGCACGGCATAACGATCGTGTGCCTTCTAGTAATAGCCATTATATATTTTGTGATGCCCACCTTACGAGACTTGACGGGTAATATAATAACTACCATATGTATGTGCCTTATACTGAGCCAAACGGCGGACATGATCAGGCTGTTGACGGTCTTCAGGAGCCACACCAGCCTCTTGATTACAGGTCAGTAAAATTTAATTTTAATTAAAAAAATACTCAGAAACTCACGATTTTAAATTAATTAAATTCAAAAATGTTTTCTAAAAAATCCTATCAAATGAGAATCTAACAAGGACAAGGTAAGGTAGTCGGATTTTTGTAATTTTTGATATTTATGGTACGTGTAGTTTGGACCTTGAATAAGAATTTTCCGAAGTAGTTCGACGCAACGTTCATAAATTACCGAGATAATCGATTTTGAAGTTTTACCTGACGGCTAAATCCACTAGATGCGACACATTATTTAACTGGGAGCGTGGCCTAATTGGTAGCACGAGATCACTGGTTCGAGTCCGTCGCGTGACATTTTTTTTTTCAAAACGCACAATATGGTTTTTTATTATTTATTTCATCTCGAAAATTATGAACAAACGAAATATTATAATAGATACTTATGTATATGTAGGAATATTCTTCAAATATTTCATTAAAATGCACAATTGGTTGATAAACAATATTTATTATGAATTAACAATAAAGTTTCATAAAAAAAAACAAACGAGGTCAGGTAGAATGTTCTTTTATTTTACGCAGTGTGGCATGAGCCAGAATGGTAGTTATAAAAAAATGGGACGCAGAAATTTTTTCAGCATATAGCTTCCTTTCTTTTTCTTATCTCGAAAGTTATGAAGAAACGAAGTACATAACGAGCGTTCAAATAAAAACGTGGTCGAAGTTGGCTCTGACACATTGGACGTAGGGAGTAGCTTATAGCGACCAACTTAACCTCATTTCTCAACGAGCTGTATAGCAGCTGTCAGTTTCAATAATGTTAATGACTATATAACTTTATTTTAAAGAATAATCCTGATAACAATAACAAACAATTAAAGGAGCTGCGGAAAGTGTCCCCCTCCTTGTTATAACAATAAATTAAAGCAGCTGCTGAAAGTGTCCCCCTCCTTGTTCCAAGCACTTTTCACACCTGTTCCTCAAAGAATTAAAGACATTTTCTAAGATGCTCGGGGTATTGTTAATTTCACGAATCTTGTCTATAAGTCGAGCCTGCAGATGGTTTAAATCAGGAATAGGCAGTTCAAAAATAGTGTTTTTAAGGTAAGGCCACAAAAAAAAATCAGAAGACCACATTCTCATATTCTGTGAGTTTACGTAACCACTTAAATGAAACCAGGCTTCATCAGAAAAAAAGGTGATATTATGAAGTTCACCGTAGTTGTTTAAAAACCATTCACAAAATACAGCCCGTCGCGGAAAATCAACTTCATGAAGTTCTTGCTGACAAGTTAAACGATAGGAGAACAAACGCAAATCTTTTTTTAACACTGTGTGGCAGGTACCGACTGATACTCCCACCATTTGTGATAAAACACGTACAGAAGTTCTTGGCGCATTTTCCATTATTTGTTGGACATTTTCTTTTAATTCTTCAGTCCGCTTTTTAGGTCGGCCGCTTCCTTCTTTTCTTGTTACACTGCCCGTTTCACGAAAAACATTAACACAACGCTGAACTGCACTTTGAAAAATTTTGTACTCAACAACGCCGGGAAATTGATTTTGAAATTCTGTGAAACATTCCTCAATAGAATACTTCCATATTCCATCAATCTTGCGTCCATTTCTAAAGTAGGACTCTATGATAAACACTTTTTGTTCTTGAGAAAACACCATTTTAAACGCTTTTTAAAACGAAAATATTCAAATTGATAGCGGCAATATAGCGCTTTGACAGATGACGTTTAAGTTCATTTGCTATACGCTACGCCCTACGTCCAAATTTTCAGAACCAACTTGACCACGTTATTTGAACGCTCGTTATTATAAGAATTGTATGTAGGAATATTCTTCAAGTGTTTAATTAACATTTTGAGCTAGGTTGTATGGGTCGTCCACCGTGTTTAAAAAAACCTGCTCGGGCATAAAAAGTTTCGGTAAAGGGTAGAGAAGCATCGAAACTGTGCGATGAGAGAACAATCTTTCAAAATGTTAACGATTTGCTTCGACGTCGATATTTTGAAAACAAAATCCGCCTGTAAAAACATAATATTTACACGACATGCTAGATGCTTAAAAAATTTCTGCTTCCCATGTTTCTATGATAACTATCATTCTGGCTTATGCCACACTGCGTAAAATGTCAAATACTAAAAATAAAATAAAAAACCTACCTGACCTCGTTTGTTTTCTTTTTAAAGAAACTTTATTGTTAATTCATAATAAATATTGTTTTTCAACCAATTGTGCATTTGAAACATATACATAAGTAGTCATTAGAATATTTCGTTTGTTCTTAATTTTCGAGATGAGAAAAGAATAAAAAACCATATGGCGCGTTTTGCAAAAAAAAATGTCACGTGACGAGACTCGAACCACCAATACTTCAGAAAATTCTTATTCAAGGTCCAAACTATGTACTATAAATATCAAAAATTACAAAAATCCGACTACCTTACCTTCTCCTTGTAAGTATGCAAAAGATATGTATCCCCACTAACAAGACTGCCAACTGTTGATACTGCAGGAAACTACTATATGGAATGCTTTTTCAAATTTATTTTGAGCTATAACACTATTATTGAGAAAAATTTATGACACTTTTAAACAAATACTTCCCTTAAAAAAAATTATGTAGGTGTATTTTTTTCAAGTTAATTACTCTCCCATCAGCACAAAAAAAAATAACAGGGTTCATAGTACAAAAGTAATGAAGAATTCCCTGACTTTTCCAGGTTTTCCCTGACTTATAAAAATAAAATCCAGGTCACTTGTAGTTCATTTTTACATACTAATTGGTGTTTATGCATTAAATTTTTTCTCGACTGGACTCCATAATATTTTTTAAACCCTAAGAACCTCTTATAAAGGTTTCAAAACCACAAATAGTTTTCTCTTTCAAGAACACAGGGCCGGCTTTCACAAAATTTCCAGTTGCAAACATTAAATTCCCTGACTTTCATGAATATTTTTAAAATTCCCTGACTATTCCCTGTTTTTTATGAAGAATAACGAATTCCCTGACTTTTCCCGGTATTCCCGGTTTTCCCGGCCGCTACGAACCCTGAATAAGAAAATTAGCTAAATTCACATAAAATATTCCAGAACAACAACAAAGCGAAAACATTCTCCGATTGTATCCTGTCTATATACCAGAGCTGGGCAAAATACTTTCAAAATGTATTTAAAATACAAATTACAAACTACCAGTACGAAAGTATTTTAAAATACGTTACTTACATAATACTATTTTATACAGGGTTCGTAGCGGCCGGGAAAACCGGGAATACCGGGAAAAGTCAGGGAATTCGTTATTCTTCATAAAAAACAGGGAATAGTCAGGGAATTTTAAAAATATTCATGAAAGTCAGGGAATTTAATGTTTGCAACTGGAAATTTTGTGAAAGCCGGCCCTGTGTTCTTGAAAGAGAAAACTATTTGTGGTTTTGAAACCTTTATAAGAGGTTCTTAGGGTATAAAAAATATTATGGAGTCCAGTCGAGAAAAAATTTAATGCATAAACACCAATTAGTATGTAAAAATGAACTACAAGTGACCTGGATTTTATTTTTATAAGTCAGGGAAAACCTGGAAAAGTCAGGGAATTCTTCATTACTTTTGAACTATGAACCCTGTTATATTTAAAATACTTACTATTTGATATTTTTTTTTTGTCAAAATACTTCCAGTTCTGCTATACAGGGTGTTTCACATAAGAACCGACACAGCAGGATTTAGGAGTTAGTTCTTCGTGTTTTTGTTGAAAACGACAAAGTTTTTTGAAAACTGACAAGAGTAAGAAAAGTTTTATAATTAAATTCCCCTACAATAAAGTAGTAATTCCAGCGGGTTAAAAAATTCTGTCACATTTTGATGGTGCACCATCCCTTATCGACCCTTTAAAATGCTTGGATTGAACTCTACTTACTGTCGATTAATGCTCTTGGTATACTCACGCCTTGTACCAAATTTGTTTTTCCTAAGTTCAATTATAACCGAGATATTGATTTTTTTCGAAATTTGACACCCTATTTTCAGTCAACTTCTCAAGGGTGCAACTAAGTATAAAGGTAAGTTGTTAAATCACCATCGTTTGGGTTCCCGTACATGCCCCTGCTCTGTATCGGTTCTTATTTGAAACACCCTGTATATTCCCTCTATAATTTTAAAACGGTTTGAGATATCGATTTCAACTTTTGTACTTTCATACTGATTTTAGTATCTCCATAAGGAGAGTATAGAAAATAGTAAAATGGTTTAATATTTCACGTTTTCCCATTTTGTTCTCTATTGCAAATAGTACGCAGAAGTTCCAGTACAGTCCAAACTGATGACTGGAAGCTTCCTGTTATTAACTGACTTATCTTAGGGTGAGGCTTATCGGTTATGATGTTTTTGTGCTTTCCAATGCAAAAATATCCTGTGTGAGGACTAATGATATTCTCAGGAATATTTATTTATGTTGATGTTATTCTGGTGTGAGTCACCTATGAAATCATGCATATATTACAGATATTGGCTTGCTAATATATGCAAATCTTTTATTTATCATGGGAAAACTTTGAAGAATTTAATCAGCATAAAATGTTACAGGGTGTCTTTATAGGTACGTTGACAGGGTGATCCAAATTCAAAACTTGTGGGGGTTTTCTCGTATGTCCCAAAAAAGAAAAAAATATTTCAAATACCAGATAATATTCTATTTAAAAATATATAATGTTAGATATTTTCGAAAAAGATACAAGGTGATCCAATAAAAAGTAAATAAGAGACACCCTTCAAAAATGTCCAAATTGTCCAATCTATACCGGCAATTTTTGTATAGAAAGCAAAAAACAAGTACAAATGAACTTCAATTATTTACCTTACCAAGACCAAGAATGCATATCGAAAATTATAAAATCCACTACAATTTTTTAGGTCCCAAGTTTTAAAACACTGTACCAGCATTAGCATTTTTTTTTAAATCTAACAACTGCAGATTTTAATAAAAATTTAAAAAATTAACAATTTGTATTTTAAAGGATTTCATTCATTATTTTATTTTTTGTTTTTATTTTTTTTTCTGAAATGTTGAAAAAAGTGCAATTTCTAACATTAATTAACTTAACTAACGATTTACGTGTTTTTTTTGTACAATTATTTAATTTTTAATAATGCATTATAGTAGAACAACGTACAGCTATTAGATTTTTAATAAAAAAAAAATTGCCCACACAAAAACTAGCATCTAAAAAATCGTAATTGGCTTAGGAATTAGAATTTTGAGCTTATAGTTTCAAATATGCGCGTTTTTAAGGTCTATTTAGTAAAAATATATTTGGGCTTTATTTATTTTTAGCTTGCTATGTTAATGGCCTTTACACCAATAAATTAGGACACTCTGTATATGGTCAAAGCAAATAATTTGTAAATCTCGTTAAACTGTACACAACGGAAAAATTTATCAAAACCTTTACATGTCGACTCTTTTTAGCCTTCATCAGCTGAGACAAGAAAATATTTCTTTAAATAACAAATTTAAAGTTACAGAATTGCAATTCATTATCTTAGCCTTAGCTGGGAACCTTCAACCTGCTCTCGTCGCTCTCCAGCTTAGCTCTGTGGGGGTGAACCCACTATCAAAAACCTTAGGCACGGCCTGATGTTTATTCCGTTTCTTATTGTTAGTTCTAAGGCAATGGCGGTCCCCTGAGACATTCCATATAGACCTCAAATGTTTTGCCATTTTTCACTGACAGAATTTTCAGTGGCAATTCTGCAAAAGCGTCGCCGCAACGAATCTGATAGCGGGTCCGCCATCACAGAACTTAGCCCGGGAACAAAGATTCCTCCATCTTACTTTAAATTTTATACTTTTCAGAAACTATATGCTACGTTAGCATGCTCGGTGCCTTTTTCTGGCTGAACAGCTTGGGATATTACATATGGAAAACCTTCAGGTACTTTACACCGACACGTGAGTAGAGTTCAAGAGAATAAACGAGAATTTTTCTCTTCGTTTACAGATCCCGAAACGTTTTCTTGCGAATCACGGACGGCAAGAAATACTGTTATTACTGCGCTTACTCGTGGTCTTGCACACTTATTCTAGGAACTTTGGCAATTTTAGCGCACTTTACTATGGATTACAGCGACATCAAGTATAAGCCTATTTCACCGTACGAGGAACAAGAGGAAGTAGGTAAGTGTTAAAAGTCAAATGTTTGGTACTATCAAGGATCTAATTAGAAAATGAAAATAGGGAATTATTTCTTCAATACAGGCTAGTCAAATTGTCGAAAATATTTCGTTTTTTGCAAAAATTTTGTACAGAAAAATTCCATAGAATTGAATAATCCAGCTGAATGTTGTGGCTTCATTTTCAAATTGGTATTCAAAATTCGCAAAAAATAGTTCTTTTCATTAAAAAAAAACTGAACATTTTAGAAAAAAATGTTTTACACATAAGTTGTAGAACTTATGTAAACAAATAGACTCGTTTTACAAAAAAAACGGCTAAATATCGCATTTTTTTTAAAGGTCTGTCTTTAAAACAAAAAAAAGATTTTAAGTGTATTTTTGTAAAATTGCAAAATATATGATAATTTTTGCAAAAATTAGTTTTCGAGTTTTTCGAAAAAAAAGACATTTTTTTCAAGTTTTAATAAATGATACAGTAATGCACTTACGTGACCTATCTGTACAAATTGTGTGCGTATTGCAAAATAATTGGAAATATGCAAAAAATCTATTGAAAGTGAATTCTTTTTTCGGGTAAAAAAATGTAGATCTTTTTCTTATCATTGAAATTTAAACGGAAAGGCATTATTTCCATTTGAAATCTGACATTTTTTCACAAATTAAAAAAAAGTCCTACTCACCAACAGGAGCCGAAATTTTTATTTATTTTTTTTTTTTTCAAAACATCGCTAGGACCTCATTTATGAATATTAGGTCTGAAATTTATAAATATTGTAGTTAACCACTTTTACTTCAATATAAAAAATAGTCCGCAATGATTGACCCTCTTTTTTTACAATAAACTTAATTTTGTTAGGCCCCGTAAAGTGGTTGCGTAGGACATTTTTTTTTTTAAAGTTCGGTAAAAAATGTTAGCTCTCAAATGGCAGTAATGCCATTCCAATTAAATTTCAACGATAAGAAAAAGATCTACATTTTCCGACCTGACAAAAGTCAGTTTCGATATTTTTTAGAAAAACTCAATTTTTGTTTTAAAGATATAGAAGTTTTAAAAAAATGCGATTTTCAGCCGTTTTTTTTTGCAGTAACTAATACATTTGTTTATCAATTGACATCAGACTGGGCTCAAAATTTTTGTTATAAAAATTTCTACAACTTTGGTCTAAAACATTTTTTTCTAAAATGTTTAGTTTTCCTTTTGAATTAGAAAAAAAGACAGAATTGAGCTATCACATCACAGGAATTTCCTAACCTCAAAAAACAGGTCAAAAATAGCAAAAATTCACGAGAAAGTGCTAAGAAAAATACAACATTTTTTTTTCTTTATTCAAATGTTCGTGATCAGCTACCCCAAAAACCCACGTATACCAAATTTGGCGCGAATCTGTTATTTTTTGAAAATTTGTGATATCTGACCTTAATTGACCCGTTTTTTTTTGAGGTCAGAAAAAGAACTATGACTGCGGATTCATGTTAGGCGGGGTCTTAAAAAAAATGTTTGTATGTTTTCTACCACTTTTTCATGGATTTTTGCTATTTTTGACCTGTTTTTTGAGGTTAGGAAATACCTGTGATGTGATAGCTCAATTTTGACACTGGATTCGTCATCAGGATGCAAAAATACTACTGATAACATATGTCACATGAAAAGTACAGACAACTTTTTTTTGTGTGGCAGTGTATTTAAACGCAAGGTTAGTGATTTTAAGGCTTTCAAATGTACGCTGCCGCCAGATACAGACTTACATCGTACTTCCATAGCCTTCGCTAGGAGTCTAGGGGTTGATAGCGGGCCCGCCCGGCCCCCACAAAGCCTAGCTCGAGAACAACAAGGGACGGTCAAAGATTCCTAGCCGAGGCTAAGAAAGTGTAATAACCGTGGTACTTTAAACCCAAGTTTCATTATTCTGCGTCATACGTCTTCAGAGATAGTCACTTATTTGCGCAGGTTCGCTGGGGATGATAATATTCTTCGTGCCGGTGGCCTTCACCATCATAGTCGACATCTTTTTCTTCGCAACGACCCTGCAAACGATAAACAGGATGCACACGTACGGCAGGATACACCACAAACTCCGCCACAGGTAAGCCGAACCGTGTAAACTTCACACGACCTGAAATCGCACGATATCCTAAATCTCTTCCAGCTTCCGCATGTTCCTCCTGCTGCTGCTCGTTATGGCGCTCTGCTGGCTCTTCTTCTTGTCCTCCTTTTCCAAACTCGAGGGCCTCATCAACGGCCACATCATCGTCAACGCCCTCCTGGGGCCGCTCGTCCTCTACGTGTGCATCTTCAACCAGAAGCACGTCTCGTACCTGATACGCAAGACGTGCTGTTACACCAACTGCCCGTGCTCGTGCTGCAGGCCAGAGCCCGAGTGCGAGTGGGGCGACGAGATGACCGCCATGAACACCGAATGCAATTATTAACGGGGGGACGTCGTACGCCGTACGGGAATCTCGCTAGTTGTAGCAGTTGACAATACAAGGTAGCACGTGGGAAACAAATCTGTAGCGGCGGTAAGTCGCATAGAAATACTCAATTTTAGTGTGAACGAAGTTGTCACGGTAAGTCGCCTTTTCAGTATCGTAGATAAGTTATTTAATAGTTAAAAGGAAGATTGAAATCTATTTGCAGATGCGCAATTTTTTTGAGAAACTTTTTATATTCTTTTTGTCTTATAAGGCACGCTATTTATTTATTCGTTTTGTTAATTTTTGAAAAAAAAACAAACTTTTTAGTAAAAAGAAACGATGTAAAAGTAAACATGGAGTATATACAGGGTGTCTTGATTTTATAGGGGTAAGGGCCATTAACCCGGTAAGTAAAAAACAATTGAGGTTCAAATGTTTTTTGTTGGATAAATCCCAGGGATGAGATGATTTTTAATTAAGAAAATTTTATTTTTTTTTTATTTTTTTGCCAGAAATTAAACAATATAATTTAGAAAAGGAAAATCTAAATCTCTATTGCATAAAAATAACGAAAATATACAGGGTGATTTACAAACGGTGACCAAAAATGAAACCTCGTATTCTTTGGTGAATTTTAAAGCAACTTTCACTTACTAGTTTTTAAATTATTTAATGAAATTTAAAACATTTTTTTAAGTTTAACACCCTGTATTTTTCTAACGAAGCGTCCTAGATAATAGGCTATTGATAAAAAAAAGAGGGTACATAGGAACTACAACGTAACAGAAATTTTATTGTTTGATATGTTCAGTTGACCCTAAAAATGATAAAACCACCTACCTTTTAAAGGGGTGCGTTTTTGAGAACGAAGTAAAAAGGTGGTATTTTCAGTTATTTGAGTTTTACTCGAAAATTATGCATTTTTTCACTATAGTTGTCATCAGAAACGTTGTAGCAAATTGAATTTCCAATCAAAATGAGATCTTCTGAAGTCAAAAAAATTTATTTTTAACAAAAATATGCCCAAAAAGCGAGAAAAAAATACGAAAAATTTTTTTTTTCTTTTTGGTTTTTGGCCCACAACTTTTTTCTGAGAAGAGTAAGGTATAGGCATTGCTTCACAGAAAAAAAAATTAATGTTTTTTCTTATAAAATAAGCGTTTATAAAAGTACCTAGGATTAATAGAAACCGAGATACATTGGATCAAAGTTGGCTACTTTTTGGATTTTTGGTCAATTTTTGCCCTTTTTAATTTTGAAAAATTCTTATTTACAAAATTGAAAAATTTTTTTGTAATTGTAATTTCAAGATTTTTTAATTAAAAGTACAAAAATAATTAAAAAATTCGAAATTTTACAAGACAATTAGTTGTTTAAATAAATAAATAATAATATCCAATCACCTAGAAACTTATTTTAACTTTCACATTCACAAAAATTAATTTATTAGACAAAATAATACCAAAAGTAATAAAAATTTTATAAAAATAAGAAAAAGTATTGTTGGTTAAATTGACATATCTCGGTTGATTTTAATTGTACAAACTTCTACCGGGCACCATTTTAAAGGTCTTGAAACCAGCTTTCATTTGAAGATGGCATTACATATACTTAAATTAACTCAGAAAAAAAAGTTATGACGAAAATCGTCAAAAAAGGGCAAAAATTGTCCAAAAATCCAAAAAGTAGCCAACTTTGATCCAATGTATCTCAGTTTTTATTAGTGCTAGGTACTTTTATAAACGCTTATTTTAAAGGAAAAAACATTAACTTTTTTTCGTTTTTTGGGCATATTTTTGTTAAAAATAAATTTTTTTGACTTCAGAAGGTCTCATTTCAATTGGAAATTCAATTTGCTACAACTTTTCTGTTGACAACTATAGTGAAAAAATGCAGTTTTCGAGTAAAACTCAAAAAACTGAAAATACCACCTTTTTACTTCGTTCTCAAAAACGCACCCCTTTAAAAGGTAGCACTCCTCTGTTTTATCATTTTTTAGGGTCAATTGAACATATCAAACAATAACATTTCTGTTACGTTGTAGTTCCTATCTCAAGTACATAGTCAATAGCCTAAAAAGCTTTATACGAAAGACTACCCTTACAATTCACCAAAGAATACCAAGTTTCATTTTTGGTCACCCTTTGTGAATCATCCTGTATAATAAGGTGTTATATAAAATAATTTATTTGTCACACTTTTTTTGTTTAAATTTTTTTTAAAGGTATATAACCACATTGAAATCTAAATCAAATAATAAATAAACCTAAGGGTTTATTTATTTATTGTTAAAAAAATACACTAGAGGTTGTTTTTCAGTTTGTTGTAAATAATTCGAATTTTTAATCTGTACAAGACACAGAAAGAACTATTTTGAGTAAACCTAAAAAAAATACACATCTATCAAAATAAACACTTGGATAAAAGATTAAAGAAAATCAGTGTCTGACCGAAACTAGTTTTAACAACCGAAACCGAATTCGATTCAAAGTAGAGCAAAAAATCGTCGGCCTTTTATCAAAGGAAAATCGTGGTCATCACTTTTAGAAGCGTAAGATTTCAAATTTAAAATGAAATTAAACGTAAAATCAATACCGCTAAACCAGAGACCACCTCCAAAAAACAAGTAAACAACAGTGGCACATACAGAGGTGAAATGTAGTACGTATGTGTCATTTAAAAAACAAATTGGATTTATAATAAATGCCTTTGTTTTTCATTTTGTCCTTTGTAAGTATATAATTGTTAATCCATAATGCATAAAGAAATTATTGAATTTCTAAACCCCTTAAAACCGTACTGCACTGGATGCCTTGACAGGCAACGATTTATTACTTTGCATCGAATATGATCCTACTACAGTCTATTTGATTCGACACTCTCCACTATGCCAATTTCTCCCGAAGGCTGAACGAAAGCTCACGAACGTGATTTCGGTCGTAAATTTTCTGCCGAAACCGAAGTTCGGTTGGATATTAAAGAAAACAAACAAATTACGAATTTTTAAGTTAGTTTTTTACTTTTTCTCCATAATTTTTATCAGCCATTATAAAAACGTCTAAAAATGCACACATTTGAAAACTATAAGGGCCTTTGCAAATTTTAGCAAAACTTAAGTGTTACTTTACACTCTCAAAAGTACCATTGTAACAATTTCACACTATTTTAATTAGTTCCAATAAAGTTCATTCATTTAATTTCGTCTGAATTCATGTGAAAAAAAAATCGGTAACTTGAATTTTTTCACAAACAATTTGCCAACACAATTTTTCAAAAAATTGCATTTTAATAGAAAATCGAAATTTCAATACAGTTGTTAGTTTGTAAATATGCACTTTCCTAAGAGTTATTTATAAAAAAAATGAATTTATTTTGTTTTTTGTTGTAAATAAATTCGGACACCCTGTATTTATTTATATTTACAAACATAAAAAAGGAACCAAATTGTAAATGCACAATTTTCTTTAAACTTTTGATATATTTTTAGTCTTAACTAAGTAGACCTCATTTATTTGTTAATTGTTAAAAAAAAATAACTTTGCCTTGGCATATTTACGAAAAATTAACGAAAAAATTTAAAATTAAGTATTTATTTAATTCTAAGAACAATAAAAGTTAGTGATATTTATCTAAGGAAAAAGTATTTTCTGGGCAGCTATTTGTACATTCGAATCATAACCAACGAGACTTATCGGTCCATTCCACCTTTTTTTACTTACAAAACTTTATTTGATACTTAAATTATTAATTTTATATATTTATAATTGTGTATGTGTACTTAATTTTATGTATTTATTTCTTTAGTGAATAAAAATAATTATACAATTTTTTTTTATTACCAACACATTTATCCTAAAAAATTCCTAGCTTTCTGAATACTTGTAAAAATTCATGCTAAAAATCGTTCGATTTGTGAAATTAACAAACCATAGCACTTTATGAAACACTGTTTTATAAAAGTGTTACAAAACACATGAGCAAAATTAAAGATTTGGCACTAACCTGGCTGAAAAGGTGACCTTCAGGTCTTCTGATCAGTGCTGAAAGCTGGCACCTCACGACTAAATGACAATCGTCCAAAACGGTATTGAAAAACCTCCTCGTTGGCAAAAGAGCCTCCAAATCCGTTATTAACTCCAAAAATCTTTCACAATAGTGCACCTGAAAGCAAAATAAAAAGCTCTGCTTTTTAAACGCTTCCTTTTAGTCTGTTTTGAAATGTTATGGAGTGTTTCTTAATATTCATGGAAATTATAGGAATTCCTACTAATTTATTTTACTATTCTGGTCTTCTCAAGTGTTAAATTTATTTAAATTTATATTGTGGGAGCATAAACCGATTTTGGAATCAGTAGAGGTACTATCGTGTTAGTGGCCAAAGTAAATTAACTTAAACTGTGTGAGTAAAAATGGCAAATCCGTCAACCCACCATACACATAAAAATGCATGTGCTTATCTCAAAAATCAGATAATTGTATTAAACTTCAAGTAGTATGGACAACGTTGTTGAAATGTGTTCCGCAATTTAACTGGGACAGGAAAATCAACAATCTTAACATTTTCAAATAAAGGGGAAAATTATAGTGGAGTTCTAATTCACTGCTTTATAGAAAAAAAAAGTAAATAAAATTTTCTTCAAAACAATAGGTTGTAAAGTAATTTTTACCCTTATACGTTTTCTCATTTTTTGCAAAAAAGGAAGGAAATAAGACGTTCAAGGATTTTCATCAGTGACTTGTTCGAAGAGTCATTAGAATGAAAAAACCGTGGGGTGCTATTAAATTAGAGGGTTGAAATTAAAGATAGGGGTGAAAATGCACTTTTGCAGTTTTTTAAACATAACATGAAAACGAAGCAAAATTTCAGTATAGTTCATTGGAAAAATTTTGTAGAGAATTGAATTTCCCATCGAAATGGCTTATTTAAAAAAGAGAAAAATTTTATGCGTTAAAAATCTAAACAATTTAAAAAATGCAAAAAATAAGATTTTTTGATTTTTTTTACTTTTTTAATAAAAAAATTTATTAAAAACGTGAGCATCCAAGTACAATAAAGTTTATTAATAATGTATATACAATGTGTTCACAGATGGAGGTGCAAGAGGAAATTCTTTTGTTTTTGACTTTATCAATAAATGTCACTTTTTATAAAACTTCTACCCCTCGAGAAAATGAGTCATACAAGCATCTTAGATTAGATATACAGGGTGCTCATAAATTAAAAAAACACGAAAATATTCAAAAGAGACGTACCATTATTTATTATTTTACACATTTTTATGAAACAAATCTCAAATACTGTTCTAACACAAATTTTAAAATAAAAATATCAATTCTGACTTTTACTCTAGGGATATGCATACTTCCTACCTCAAAAATAAAAATTTTGACTTTAAAATTTGTATTAGGACATTATTTGAGGTTATAAACAGATTTGTTACATAAAAATGTTTTGTAAAATAATAAATAATGGTTCTTCTCTCTTGAGTATTTTCGTGTTTTTTTAATTTATGAGCACCCTGTATATCTAATCTAAGATGTTTGTATGACAGTCTCATTTTTTTGGTCAGAGCTTTTTATAAAGAGTGGCATTTTTCGAAAGTTAAAAAGAAAAGAGTTTCTCCTCTTGTCAACTCCATCAGTGGACACACTGTATATACATTATTAATAAACTTTATTGTACTTAAATTCACAAGTTTTTACTAAATTATTTTATTAAAAAAATTAAAAAATCTTATTTTTTGCTTTCTTTAGAATTGTTTATTAATGTTTCTTTGCATAAAATTTTCCTTTTACATTTTTTAAATAAGCCATTTCGATGAGAAATACAATTCTCTAAATAATTTTTCCTATGAACTATACCGAAATTTTGCTTCGTTTTTGAGCTACAATTAAAAAACTGAAAGGGGTGCATTTTCACCACTATGTCCAATTACCACCCTCTAATTTAATAGCACTCCGCGGTTTTTTCATCTAAAATGACTCTTTGAACGATTCATGCAATGAACGTCATAGTTCCTTTTAAAATTCTATATTCAATAGCCTATTAATGGGACACCCTGTGTGATTGAACTGAACATATTTGATTACTTTATGCATACTTTCTCATTATTTTTATAAACAGTATATTGAAATTTTAACTACGATAAATAATGAAAGTTTATTATCAGTATTTACAATAACACTACTGTTGCGGAAAATTAGGTTAAATAATAACAAAGCATGATCGTACAACTCCCTAAAGAAAATCACATCCTCACCTTGTCGTCTGGACATATTCCGCCCTCTTTGATGGTATCCAGAATGTCGATAAACTTCAACATTAACTTGTGAAGAAAAGTCCTCTCCCACATCAATTTTTCCATCTGCTCTGGCTTGTCTTTCCTTTGAATCGCCCGCCAATACTTCTTCCACTTCGGGTACTTCTTGAATTCGTATTCGCGTCTCGACGGTTGCAAAGAAACCCACATGGACAGCGACACCAGCCTTTTTACCTGGTCCCGGCACAATGCTTCTTCCATACTGTTGAAACAGTGGTTTAAAAACACTAAAAGTGCGGTCTGTTCTTTCAAATTGATTAAAAGCTCGTCTTTCTCCAGACAAGCATGTAGAACTTGTTGGAAGAAATCGGGAAAATACTGATCTAGTTTCCTGAATGCCTGAAAGAATTTATTTTGTTAATTAAAATGCTTTAGGAGCAAAAGAAATTCGGTTACCTGCCAAACCTGCACACGTTCTCTGAACTTCTCGTTTACCATTATCACTATAGAGAGCATATGAGCTTGAGACGCCCCCGGTTTATAGTTTGGCCAAAGGTAATTCTCCAAATACTGACTAAATTCTAACACCATAATCCTCCGTATAGAAAAACTAAAAAATGTAAAGGTTTATATTAAAAAAATGTCCCGATTGCATCGTTGATCGAATTAAACTTACTTGCTTCCGCGGATGTCTTGCATATAGATATCTTCGATGACTTCTGGGTCAAAGTCTACATGCTGTTCTAGAGAATTCGGGGCCCAGTACTTGTCGGCTAACTATTTGGAAGAAAATTTATGAAAAACATGAGCTTTTTAGGTTATATTACGCCTAACCTGTGTAATCCTGTCAGAAATAATTTGTTGCACAGTTGGCGCTACAACAGTGCTTTGGGCCGTTGTTCCGGTCATTTTCACGATTTTTTTTACTTATAAAATTATTATAAACACAAATAAAAACGTTTTAATTGCGAATTAATATTTACACTCTCATTTTTACCGAACAAACACTACATTAGTGATGGGAGATTTCGAGTGAAAAATCGAGTGGTACTCGATTATTGAGACCACTCGAGATATCTCGAGATGTTTACTCCCACCACTCGAGTGATTATTACCCTACGGTTGCACCCCAAAATGTTAGTGCATACTGCAAATAGTCACTGATTGCGTAACCTTTTTTTAGAATAAAATGAAAAAGTGGTTAGGTTTTGAAATGCGTGAGCTTTTTTTTTTTTTTTTAGCTACGCTTATAAGTAATATATGACTAATTCAAACATTTGTGCGCCGCTGGGATGAAAACGACCAATATCTCGTATCTCGAGTGATCACTCGATTATTAGAAGTACTCGATTACCGATAACTCGATTATTAAAATTGGTCGATTATGCCCATCACTACACTACATGACCTGTGACATAACGTCATTGACGTCACATTACTTAGATATGAATTGTGATTAGTGCTAGGTTGGAGTTAGGTTAGGCCTCTAAAAATACTCAGGCGTGTATTTTGTATTGCATATACAAAGTTAGTAACATTGAACATTGATTTTATAAATGTAGATGCGGTACTATTCAAAGCAACAATATTATTTATAAGAACTGAGGTCATTCTCCAAATAACCATAACTTCTAAAAGTGCAGGCATAATTATTAGTTAATCTAGTAGTTACATGCAAAGTTACTAATTGTTTGTCTTGCTGTAAAGTTTTTGCATTAAAGCAAAATAAGTGTAAGACGAGTTCACTACCTGGAAATATAAAACATAACTTTATTACGCGCAAATATTTATTTATATCGTACTTACTGTAGTAAATGAGTTTAAAGAAAGCACTGAAAACTTCCCCGCTGTCAGGAACAGTGGTCTCTTGCTACGCTCCATTATAATAATTAATATTTTGCGGACCTTAACTTCGCAGTCTATCCAGTCCGATTCGTAGCAGGCTGTTTTCGTATCTGAGCTCTGTGACAGATGACAGAACATGATTTTGAATGAAAAATTTAAGAATAAAGAAGATCGCGCATATGTTTACCTTCACGATAATTTCATTCCCGAACCAACAATACATCCCTAGTTGGCACATCATCGCTGCGAAATAGAAGACCGTGTTGAAGAACTGCAGATTTAGCCCACGAATCTAAAAAAATATATTGTATAATACTTTAAAACTTTAAGTATAGGTCATGTTTTTTAGGAGTAATACACTGTGTTCTCCATAATATACCTGATGTGAACTGACAACAAAGTATTCGGCTGATACAAAGTAAACGACCAAACGAGAATGGTTGCTATGTCACCGCAATATTTTACATTTTATTAGATTTAATTTCATTTAAACTGTCGAATAAATTCATTCGCTGGTCGTAGGTGCTGTAAAATGTGTTATTATGTTTTGTCCAGCGGCGAGGTATGAAAAAAGCTTAAAAAAATGTAGTTTCCACAACGGAATTTTAGAAAACAAGCTTATTATAAGTTATGATATGTGCTAAAGGTCAAAGGTAGGTAGTCTACACCCTCTGTATACAGGGTGATTCAGTCATAATGTCATTAATTTAAAGGGAAGGTAGGGAGAAGTGAGTAGAATACGAATACGCGATAAAAAAAAATCAAATACATATTTACGCTGAAAAAAAAAGTATTTTCAAATTCCCCCGGACCGCTCCTGAGTGAATGTGTCTTATTCGGTCATCAACCTAGTTTTTAATGCGCTTTTAATCCGTAGTGAATGACAACGAATAGACAGTTTTCACTATGTTTTATAATTGAATAGGTGTGTAGTACGTATACCTTATTGTATGACTTATCGCTTTTCAAAGAGTAGTATGGATTTAACTTATTTAAAATGACAGTACGGCTAAAAAAACACTCACTCATCCGTCCATAGCACTTCGTTGATAAAGTTAGAACCCGCTGCGCTTTGATTTTGAAACCAATTGCAAAATTCAAGACAATTGAGGAAATCAGCTGTTTCGCTTCAACGTTCAAAAGTAAGGCGCCGAACTAACGGGAGTTAAGGGGTAATTTTTTTGATTTTCTGTCTTTATTAGCTCCTCCGAAAACGTGGTTAAAATAAACGACCTTATGACTGACTCCGCTGTATGTTTTTACTTACATGTACTAACAGAAATCCGATATTGCAAATCAAAGCACCGCTTGTCAAATACTGAGCCAAGAATACCAATGAAAATACTTCTTCTATATCCCCAATATATCTGAAAAACACATGCTTTGCCCAATAAAATGGTCAAGATTAGTCATTATTAAAAATACACAATTATTTGAATTCTAGATCTGGAAATCTCAGTCTTATGCGTAGATAAAAGTACCTTATAATTTCATTGTGATGTTTCACGCAGTGGTTTAGATAGCGAATGTAACCATCAGTTCCTGTCGCACTTTCATCGCATTCCTTTTTAAAGTTGGTTATATTTCGATTTAAGATGTCAATTTGGACCGAAGCTATACCCATTAGAGTCATTGCGATCACGTCCAGGCAAGAATTGCTCAGTGCTGCGTTGAACATACCTAATAGTCGTTTCATAGAAAAACAAATTGATGATACAAACATGTCATATTCGTTTACTTACAGAATATTTGAAACACAGCCACGATAGGCTTATACTGTCCCATTTCAAATGAAAATCTTACAGGCATATTCGCTGATGTGTACAGGGGTCTCGCACAAAAAAAGAAGGTAATCACGAAGCATGAGAACATGTACGACAAGCCAATTACAGCGCTGGTTGTCTCAGATTTCCTTTTAATCGTGTTGAATTGGTCAGGATGTTTGTTGAAAATGTCCATATCCAAATTCCGGTATAACCTCACGAACTGGCCAGTCTTTCGCAGGAACATAATCAGTTTGATCAAGAAAGACGTAGGGGATATTATCAGTGAAAGGTGCTCTATGAGGACCACGTAGTTGCCGATTTGTTTGATGGCTTCGGCAATCAGCGTGGCAGTGAATATTATTGCTGTTACGACGGAGATTCTTCCTGAGATTTTCCCATACAGAGTTGGGTGTTCCTCCGGCCACAGACCGGTCAATGTTAGGATGAATTTTTGGATTTTTATGGCGTTGGAGGTGTTTTTCAACATCTAACATTGAAAAAAGTAATTGTTTAAATACATTGTGATTAAAACGGTGCCATAAATTCAGAATCCAACAGAAAATTAAACAATTTTTAATTGAATATCATGGTGAGCATGGCAAAAGGTAATAGGCGCCTTTTGTTTTAAATCAAATTTGCTAAATCAAAAAATTTTGAAAACCTAACCTCAGAAAAGTTGTTAAAATATTACATGGAAGGATCGCAACTAGCGACCTCTGTAAGACAATCGAAAAGTGACAACACTAGCGTTTTGGATTCTTAAAAAAACAAATTTCAGTGTGGTGCATTTTATAGAAAGTAGATCCAAAATTTACCAAAAGAAATCATCTTTTATCACCCTCTAGGTCAAAACAAAAGAAACAGATCGACAAGGAATATCGTCTTAATTTATAGCACCTGTTTTCAAAACATCCTATAGTTAACTTATGATACTGCGGATGCGGAAGAGCGGAAGCCACTACCCTGTGATATATGTAGAATTATGCTTTCCAAATCTAGCAAATAGCTAGGATCAATCGTCAGCAGAAACCACCAAACATATACAGTACGCGCCTAAAGTATGGAATAAATTCAGTAAAAACGAAACAAAATTTTTTTTTGGGAAAAATTCTCGAACAGGTCGGTTTTTAATTTAAAAAATACATATTTTATCATAAAAGGCGATTTTAAACCGTCATATCAAATAGCAACCCCTATTTTTTTTCTTGATTCTGAAAGATCGTTTCATTGTCGATCCGACAGTATTAAAATGTTGCCAACTTACATAGGAAAGTTTTAGAGTAAATGACGATTGAATATTAGAAAACGTAAATTTTATTCATTAAAAAAATAACAATTCCTATGTCAAGGAAATACAATTCATTAAGTTTTCTACCTAAATTAAGTGTTCGAATTGCCACCCACCGACTTCTTGACAATACGCAAGTCTGTGTAGAAATTCTTCTTGCACATTTTGAATTATTTTTGGGGTAACTCTGTGTATTTCATCTATAATACAATTTTGAAGTTCTTCTAAATTATGTGGTCTATTAACGTACACTTTGGACTTTAAGTAGTCCCATAAGAAATAGTCTAGGGGTGTAAGATCTGGGGATCTCGCGGGCCATTCTATCGGTCCTCGTCTGTCGATCCACCTCCGAGGAAAACAATTATCCAGAAAATCTCGAACAGGGCGCGCATAGTACGAAGGTGCACCGTCTTGCTGAAACCATATCGTGTCATCAGGAATATCAGGGCCATTATCTTTAGGAAAAATTACTGCAAGCGCTGGAACAAGGTCATTTTGTAAAAACTCTAAATATCTTTCTCCTGTAAGGGTTCCTTCAAAGAAGAAAGGTCCTACTATTCTGTTGTCAACTATTCCAGTCCACACATTTAATTTCTGTGGGTGTTGGGTATGTGTCTCTGCCATCCAATGAGGATTTTCCCGACTCCAATACCTGCAAGTTTGACGGTTCACTGTACCATTGAGGCAAAAAGTGGCCTCGTCTGAAAAAAGTATTTGCCGGTGTAAATCTCTATTTACTTGACATAATTCCATCATAATTTCACAAAAGTGTAAGCGGCGGTCGGGATCGTCTTCATTGAGTTCCTGCACAAGTTGAATTTTGTAGGGATGATATTTTTCCTGCCTCAGGATACGTAGCACTGTGGTCTGACTAATTTCATTGTTTAGTGCAGCGAATCGTGAAGTATTATGAGGATTATCTACCATACTTATCAAAATGTTCTGTTTGTGATCTTCACTAACGCTTGGACGTCAAGGTTTTGGAATATCTACAACATTGCCAGTTTCTCTAAATTTAGATTCTGTCTTACTGACTGTTGATAGGCTGGTACAGGGATCTGGATGTTTTTCATGAAATAAATCGCAAACTTCTTGCTGCGTTCTAGTCTTATCTCCGCATCAAATAAGAATTAAAATTTCAATTCTTTGTGTGACAGTTAAATGTGCCATAATACTTTAAATTCAACAATCATTTTTATATCGCTTACAATACTTAGAAAGTCGGTAAGACAGTGACACTTTGTAAAGATTTACACCTACGTAATCCATAAAAAACTTCAGGCATTTCGAAAAACTAAATTTGATAACGTTTTTGCTTTATTTTAATTGATTTGGGTTTTCTAACATTCAATCCTTATTTACTCGAAAACTTTCCTATGTAAGATGGCAACATTTTAATACTTTCGGATTGCTAATGAAACGATCTTTCAGAATCAAGAAAAAAAATAGGGGGTTGCTATTTAAAAAAATGTCGATTACGTCATTACTCGAAAACAAATGACGGTTGAAAATCGCCTTTTATGCTGAAATATGTATTTTTCAAATAAAAAATCGACCTGTTCGAGGATTTTTTCCAAAAAAATTGTTTTGTTTTTACTGAATTTATTCCATACTTTAGGCGCGTACTGTATATAACGGCTTTGGATTTTTAGTTCTCATTATTGTACTGTAGGTGTAGACCGACGAATAATCCAACTATATTTGATGCCTTAACTATAGACAATAAGGAATGAGTATGGGTGAGGTATAAAATATAACATAGTGCTACATCTATGGGTCGTCGTTGGTATTCAATGCTTAGGCCTTTAATACGGCTCAACTGGCCGAGAGCGACCTGCTATTTTGCAGGTACTATGAAAAGAGGAAATAACTACTATGCGGGTTGACGCCCAAACCAGCACTGAATTATACAAATAATATCTAGTAGTTATATTGAAACAATTAAATTTTGGTAATTACCTTAAAAGAGGCTTAACACTGAGAACACTGAATCGATTTATAATGATCTCCTGCCTTATATACATTTTTGTACGGGAAAACCACGTCATTCCGAATCTAACAAATCACGCCCTTAGAAAAATACTTTTTCGGACAGAACTTGTAAAAGTTTTCGCTGCTAATGCTAGTTATTAATCGGTAGGATATGAAATAAAGGGTGTTGACAGCTCAAAATATTTACTTCGAAAAAGTTTGGGTACGTCCCACTTGATTTATAAAATTATTATGATGCTTCTTTCTTTAGTAAAATTGAAGTCAAATAAGTATATTATAATTTCGTTTTTTAGAATGTATGTATTTTAAATACAAGTGAAAATTATAAAATAAAACTAAATACATGTTGCATAATATATTTCTAGTTAAACATTCATTATTCCAAACAGCCTAAATTTGTTTTTTTGCATTTTACCTACTCTATATACTCCAAAGTTGCAACAAAAGCATCGTGCATGACATTCCTATAGAGTCGTCTTATCGTGAGTCTCAATTTGTTTATTTGAAACCTGACAAACTTTGAGAACTTCCTCATAGCCACTAAACGCTTCTTCTTAACTCTATATTTTTTCTGATGTTTGTAGAACAAAATCTCGGCTAGCAGAATCAGACCTACAAAAAATAGGGTGATTCGGTCATAATGTCATTAATTTTAAGAGCAGATAGAGGAAAATGAGTATACGGAGACAAATAAACAACTCGGTACGTGTTTCCGACATAGGCTAACCTGTGTCGAGGTCAATAACCTTCTAATTTGCATGTGCACATTAGTCTAGGAGCCAGACAGGGTTCGGTTGCCAACCAGAGTGCCACGGCTGCATACTACTTATTCTAAAGTATTTTGACCTCCTGAAATTAGTTATAGTTATATTAAAATTAGTTATAATAAAATGCAGCATGATCCTTTATTTACTTGCATTTTATTGGTTTCGTATATATGTATCCGTGTACTAAAGCGGATTAATTAAATGTGAACCACAGATTATGATGTGAACTTGGCAACGCTGTTCGCTTCAGCTGACGATCTGTTCGTGACATTACGTTACAAAATTTTCCGAGCATCGGGCATTTGGCCGGGCCGCCCTCTTAGCGGGAGTTATGGGTTGATTTCCTTCATTTTTAAAAGTCGAGTAAACAATTTTTTTTTCCGATTTTATTAAGCCTTCTGAATACGTGGTTAAAATTAATGACATTATGACTGAATCACCCTGTATACTAATTTTAAAGTTCCAGTTTTACTTTTGTATTTATAATACTCGTATACTGACCAGAAAACGCATTTCCCAAGCACAACAAATAAAACGTCCCCTGCAACATTTTTATGCTGATGGGCTTCAGTTTCTCGCTATCCTCGTTGGCCTTGGTCTTCCTGGGGTTTTCCCTCTCCGCTTCCGAGACCAGATTTTCCTCCACTTCCATGGATATCTCCTTTTGCTTTCCCAGTTTCTCGTACTCGTTCTCTGTCATTTTTGTAATTATGCCGGCCTCGAAGGTTGCCATGAGACTGCAATTGAAACAAATGAACACAACTGACAGTAATCTGGAGGTAAAAATAGTTACATTCTGTTGATTTCTTCGATGTACGGACATCCAAGTTGAAGAGCGATGGCAGAGTAGGCCGTGTTTAACTTTTCACTCAGATGGAAGTTGCTTGGGCCTGAGAAGAATATATGAGGTTTAATTTTTTATATATTCAATATACAGGGTGTCCTGAAAAGACGCATACCCCTTCGATAATTTTTCAGGATTGAGTTTTATCAAACCAAGGTCAATTTAAAAATATTGGAACAGTATTTTTCATGCCTGCCATTGATAAAGCGTCCGAAGTCAGAAATTGCTTCTATATGTCCTTGTGGGTCATTCATTCCTGAAATGTTATCAAAGGGTTCTGGTCTTTTTGAGACACTCGAGATGTAACAATTATTTTAAGTTATATTCACATTATTACCAAATCTCTGAATATCGAAGTACAACGTTTCTCTTCCTGCCATTACAGCAATTTTATCGCTATCTCTTACTAGTTTCACTCCCTCTTCTACAGATTGCACCAAGACGTTTCCTCCCTGATTCCTTTTCATTAGATCCCAGAGGTTTCCGTAAATACCTGTCCCATTCTTCAAAACAGTGTGAGGTGAAATAGTTGACGATGAAATTCAATTGTAGAGAATAAAGATCTTACCTCTAAGAGACCGTATGAGGAACTGTGACTTTCAACGAACAAACTGTAACCTCTAGATTCCATGGCTTTCTCAAGCTGATACAAGTTATTGACAGCCCGTTCTGCAAACAAGAAAATATAAATTTGTCATATTATACAGGGTGTTTACAGTTTTCTTTGTTTGCGAGAAAATAGCTCAAAAAACAAACAAGTTATATAGTGCCGATGAGCGCTTTTGTCCAGGGGGTGGAAGCTTCTAGGAGGCGAAAAATAAAATTGAAAATAACCTCAGGAATCGATAAAGCAATCAATTTTAAGCAAAAAGTATCTTATGAACATTTTACGATAAGTCAATATTTTCTGAGTTATTGGTGATTGAAAATGTACATTTTTTATTAAAAAAAGACGTTGTCCAGTAGTTTTTCTCGAATAACTCGGAAAATAGGCATTCTATGAAAAAAAAATCACGAAGAAAATGAAGCTGCTGAGATACGGCTGGTTGAAGATAATTTCATGTCCTCCTGAAACTAAATTGGAAGCGTTTAACGTAAAATAACTAAAAAAATTCTATTTTTCAAGAGTACTTTAAAAAATCTTTAAAATGAACTTGACTTTAAGTCATTAGCATAAAAATTAACAGAGTTATGATCAAAATAAAACGTTAATTCGCTTTTTTCGGGACAAAATCGGTACAAAAACTGAAGAATTTTTCACGAAATTTAAAATTAAAGGCAATCCTTCTACGATTTACATTTTTTATGTGCTAACAATATATTACATAAGTTTAAGCGGTTTAGAATGCATATTTTAAAAAATATAACGTTTTGATTGAAAGAAATTTTTTTAATTCCAAAAGAATAACATATTTTTGAAAATAACTTTAAAAATAAAAAAGATACGAAAAATATGCAAGAATACAAAAGTTTAGATTTTTTTTTACAGAATATTTTGAATTCTTTTTTATTTGTGGAGGATAAAAATTAACAAAGATGTAGCTGCTAGAAGTTTGAAGTTGAAGGCGAAGGTTATGTTTTTTAAACCCTTTAACCTCAAAAATCTCAAAAATAACGCGTTAAAAAATATTCAGTTTTACAGTACCTACTTTTAGTCGAAATTTTCCGTAAAATCGTTTTTGGATTGTCTTAATAGCTTTAAATTTAAGGAAGTTATCGTTAAAAAGACGCTTCAATTTTTGGAGTATATCAATATTTTGGTTATCCACAACTTTGGAGCATTCATAGGTATACATAAAAAAATAATTTGAAATTATGACTTTCTGCACGAAGAAAATATTAAGAAAACAATTATTTTGAATGTCATCAATAAATTAAAGTAAATCGCGAGAAAGAAAGTCATTTCGAAAAAAAATTTATAATTCATTTTAAATAATTTAAAAGCCATTTTTTGTATTTTGTCATTGGGGGTGGTTTTTAAGGGTTAAAACAATGCGAAAAATTATAAATTGTATTATAAACAGGTAAAAGAATTTAATTTATCTTGTTTGTACTATCAAATCATTTCAAACTGTTAAAAACTATTTTTTTAATATTTTGTTATTAGGGGTAGTTTTTTAAACTATTGAAAAGTTTTCTATCTATAACATATGCGGTATAAAAATGTTTTAAAGTCAAAGAAACTATTAAATTTATATTTTTATCATTAAAGGTGGATTTAAGGGTTGAAACCTTATAAAAATAACGTAAATTATTACCCACAATATTTATTCTATATATTAATATATGATTTTAGTCTATAGAACATCTATTTTTATATTTATTCATCTACAGGGTGAAATAAACTTAATTCCAAATTTTCATAAAAATTCGGAGGTTTTACCCCATTTTTCTCTTCGTTCCCTGGACTAATAGCTCATTCATGCCGTTTAGAAAATTTTGATTCCAGTGTGAAAATTCAGTAACCTGTAGCCTAGTGATGTGATGCCAAACGCAATGTAAAAGGGTAATTTTTTCTTTTCAGTAGAAGTATGCATAAATGGCAACAAAATCATGACTATTTTTATCCAGTTTTTCCAACATTCTACCTACCTCTGCCAGGTCGAGCCAAAAGTGAGGTTAAGTTCGCAGAATACATGTCGGTGATGACGTATGTTGCAGAGATCGACAGCAATATAATGAAGAATCTGGCTTTGTGACTAGAACTTGGTAATCTCCCTGCTGCAAAACGAATTTGCTCGAATTTAAGTATAATGAACACATATCGCTTTTATTCACGTACTTTGTTTTAATAAAATTGTGATGGTGAACCAGGTGCAGTCAAAGAACAACCTGGCGTGAGACCTCACTCTGAACCTGGGCTGCCAAGCATTTGGGAGAGCTATAATTATATACAACATTGGTCCAACTGCAAGACACGTTACCAAAATAGCCGGCCAAACCTAAAAAGATTTAGGAAATGTCATAAGACAGCGGTTATTCTTTGAAATTGATTCATTTCCGTCTACCTGCCAGTGGAAAGGTCTTAGCAGTGCCAATGCTTCATTGAGCTTGCTTGGAGCGTGAGTGACAAAGGCCCCACTGTCTGCCAAAGTGAGAAAAGAGAATTCCACAAAGTTTGATCTTTCATAGGTAAGAGCTACGTCGCCTAAAAACAAGTCTGCTTCCTAAAAATTCAAGATGTTATGATTTATTACCTTTTAGTTGGAAACATACCATACCCTTCTCCATATCAGACCAAGAACTCCACTAAAAACTCCGCTTTCGGAATCGGGCGTGCCTTGGATATGTTCAGGAGGATCAAAATAGTTGTATCTGAAAATGATGTTCAGTAAGATTTGAAGAAACTCTTCCGAGCTGTCCCAACTTTACCTAAAGTTCAATTTCTGCGATAAAAGTGACAGGATTCGGTCGTCTCTACCACCTAGAACCTCCATGGTATTGTTAATATTTGAGAAGTTTCCGTTGTTGCTATTATTGTACCGCACGAAATACCATGGTGGTTTCTAGAAGAACAACGATCAGAGAGCACTTAATTTGCTAAGGATAACGTTCAATCTATTCTTACGTGTAAAACTGGTACCTGCAGAACCTTCCCTTTAAAATCCTTATACACTGACTTCATTATCGGCAAGGTAGGGTGGCTAAACAGCCCTTTCCCGTGGTTCCACCAATTTACCATGTCCAAATGGTGCTCCCTATGGGATGTGGCTTGACTGTAGAACAGCCTGAAACTGCAATAAAGTTGGTGTAACATCTCGACAATATTTTTTGTGAAGCATCATCTCACGTGTCTGTCCTAGGGTTGGTAATGACGTATATCTTCATTGCGTACTCGATATTCCTTACAAAGTTCCTCTCAAGTGGTAATCTGCCCCAGTTGAAGATGTACACAAGGTTCCTTCTTATGTAGTTCCTGTCATAAATCTGCAAATATTATCAAAAACTATTCTGAAGACCCGCATATGATTTGATATTCACCTCTAACAATATGTGTTCGTAGAGGTGATGATTTGCGAAAAATATGGTGTACGCCTCCAAGTGGTACTCGGTGTGATAATTGAGGAAATCGAAGTACTAAAAGAATGTGTACAGTGTGTTAAAAGTTTACATTAACACATTTCCAGATATACAAAATTTGTTACCTTCTCCTGAACGTCTGGACTGGTCAAATTGAAAAGGGTACTGGATATTCCACTAGCAGAAAGGCGTTGCATTAAAAGTAAAATAAAATTGACGTCTAAAATAAAGCAAATATGTATAAAAAGTACAAAATCAGCCATCTTGAAGATTTCATTTACCTGTTTGATTATCGAAGCAAATTATAATTTTGTCTAAAGGAAAATCGTTTACTATGTCTGTCACAGCACTTGCTAGGTCACCTCCAAAGGTTTTTCTCATGTCTTCTATCCCATCTTTGTAACAGAAATATTATTTGTTTGAAAATAATGTACCATCGATTTCAAGGTTAATAAAACATCAAAATATCATCTTTGTTTTCATGATACATGGAGATAAAGCCTTTTTTAAAATTAACTTCGCCTATATCTTTAAAAGTAATCGAGCTGCTTTATTATTACTTGACTTGTTTTTTTCTACTGCTGTTGTCAATTTCGGAAAATCTTCAGGGGTTCCACATAGGCCAATTCTGGGGCCACTGTTGTGTGATATTTTTATTAATGATTTAATTCAATATCTCGATGTCAATTATTTACTCTATGTGGACGACTTTTGTTGTTTATTTGCTTAGTTTTGATTTTTTTTTATATTGTTGCCACTTTCATGTTTTTCATCATAGCGCGCCTTGAAAACGGTTCGCGTTAGAGCTTTTGATAATGGATACCTTTCTGTGTAAAAAACATTTGCGGTTTAAGATATGCTTTCAAAATGCCAATTTTTCCAGAGTCGTAAAAATTAATGGCAAAAGAACCTCACGCGATTCCAAAATCTCCGCCACTGTCATATGAATAAAAATTGAATTAGCGCTCAAAAGTAGTTAATATTAATGATAATACGTGTATAATATTTGAGTTCTGTTTCTCAAATAGTTCCTGAGATATCGTCAAAAAACTGAAAAAAATATATTTTTTTTGACATCCCATAGTATATCTCGAAAATGATACGTTTGCGGACCACTATTAATATGAACTTTTTTTCTTAGAATTAGCCAAAGAATCGCAGCCTTCATTTTCCGGCATATGTTGAACACCCTGTATATAGTACGAAATCAAAAGACTGCTTCAGATATTCTCAGCGATCTCAATAATGTTTTAGGTAAAAAATAAACCTATAGTTAACTGCAGCTATAAAAAAAACTTTCCTGTAATATATTTCATTGAAATATCTACTCGTAGAAAAGTAACAAACTTATTTTTAAAAGAATAGAATAAAAAACTGTTTTGAAGATCCGCAACAAAATTTATTATCATACGAGGAAATTCTTGAAGTATGTCCCATTCACTTCTTGACATCCTGTATGTTAAAACAAATGCTTTTGTTGCTTTAATACTAGAATAATGTACAAAACACTCATTATCAAAGAAAATAATGTGTTTTTACTCACATTGTTTATATGCAATATCCCCTTTTGCTGCTGAAACTACTTTTGCTACAGCAATAAACAAAAATAAAATTACCGCAGTTTTGATCATAATCTTTCCTCTTCGTTGAGACTTTAATATTCAACTATTACCAAGATATTATGACTTATATTGCCGTGTGAGGGTTTCATGTTGCGTTTTGACGTGCTTGTTAGATTTCACGACAGGTATGAAATACGTTTGAGAAAATAATTAATATTTGATCGAGACCGAGCTATTTCATTTCTCTTCCATACGTATGAAAAATAGCGTATAATCAACGTAGAAGAACGTAGTAGAAATTAAGTGTATATATTAGGTTTGATGTAAAATACACTAGTCGCAAAAATAAAGGATAGAAATTTTTTTAGGCGATTTTTAAGAGGCTGTAACTTAGCAAAAACTGGTCGAAGAGTAATAAAAAAAGGTAAAAAGTTGCGTATTTAAGGATTTTCGCTACACTTGAGGCAACTTTACAAATAATAAATAGACTAAGGGATATTTTCGTTTTATTTTAACCTCGACTTATCCCAAGAAAACTCTCAAAAGTTCAAACCTCTGTTTTTTTTTCATTGTGATCCGAATGAGTAAAATTGTCACTTTTGAAAAAAAAAAACAATAAATTTTGCATCTTTTACTCATTTTTTTTAAATTGAAAATGTTTTTGTGCAAAAATTTATATTTTTTTTATCAAAAAATGTTAAATATCGAAAAAAATAAACTTAAAAAGATATACGTATTTTTGGAAGACAAATGTTTCGATTTTTTTACAGTATTCACATGCTACACAATTGTAAAAATTGTCCTTTTTTAATCTTGTTTTCAAATGTCAATTTAAAAATTAATAATTGCAAAAGGTATCCCCCATTCAGTATTTTCTTCCGCTTACTGAATTTTCTAGCTCACAAATCGTTCTACGAGCTCTAATTAGAAACAAAAACAGTTTTTTTTTTCACTTGGCCAGAAATCTGCTCTGTATATTTGTAATTTTTTTCCTTTTTTTTTTGATGTTTATCATTTTTTGGTGAAAAAATTTGATATTTACAAAAAAACATTTTTAATTTAAAATAATGTATAAAATACTCAAAATTAACCCTTTCATTGATTTTTTGCAAAAATTACAATTTCAATCATTCGGATCACAACGAAAGAAAAGCCCCAGCGGTTTGAACTCCTGAGAGTTTCTTTGGGATACTTTCCGTTTTAAAATACCCGAAAATAAACGGAGTCTATTTGCAAAGTTATCTAAAGTTCCGCGAAAATTCTTAAATACGAAATTTTTTATCTCTTTCGAATCAAGAGGATGCTTTGAAGTTTTCGAAAACCTGCTTAGATTTTTTGTACTATTATTAGTTCCAGAGTAACTAATTATCAAAGCCAAAAAGGTCGTTTTGCTTTGAACGACGATAATAGTTCAGCGACAAATGTTGAAAGCTCTTGAACAGCTCAAATTAAAAAGGATGAATCAAACTAAAAAAAAAATATGTTGAAGCCTATGGATTTTTTGAAAGAGAAGGCCTACTGCTCTACAATCATTTTTTGCCAAGTTACAACCTTTTGAAAATCACTTAAAAATTTAGAATTGTTCTTTCAACCTTTAATTTTTTGATAACACAACTAGATGAGTGTCTTTTAAGGTTATGATAACTAGATTTCAGTCTTTCAATCACCAATATCAAAGATATTGTCATCTGTTTTAGTAAACATAAGCACCTTTGCTTTAAGAAGACTGAAGGATAATATTCTATTTTGTTTGGAGGAATGAAACAATTACTTTAATTTTCATATATTTCACATACAACTCAATTTTTCATACAATTATTCAGTCTTCTCTTTCTAACCTTCAATGTTTTTGTACAACCAACTCAAGTATCTGGCAATTCTCGTATAAACACCAGGTAGACCAACCGCACATCCAAGATTACTTCCGTAAGATACAATTCCAACCTAGGAAAATGAAAAGTATGTACAGAGAACGACTTTGTACAAACCTCTTTGACTTACCTGCACTCTATCCACCACTAGAGGACTTCCAGAATCCCCAAGGCAAATACTCTTCTCTTCAACCCTTTTGGTGCATATCTGGTCGAACGCGAGGGACACCTCGCAGGCAGTCGTTGGAATGATGGTGACATTTATAACTTGCAGCACGCTGCTGTATGTCGTGTCTGTAGTCTTCCCCCAACCGGCTACGAACCCAAGTGCGTCGTCGTAGTTGGCGTCGTCCAATGTGGGCAGAGCAACGAGTGCGATGTTCTCTGCAAGAGAAGTTTGTCTTAGAAATAGCTCACTGGAAGAAAGAGTTGTTACCATTCAGAGTCACAGATGTAGGTAGTTGGATAAGAGCTATGTCGTGTAGGTTGCTATCGTCTGTATAGTTAGGATGAATAACGAATTCTGAAGAATTGATTACCACTTGGGTGTCTTCTTCTTCGTCGATATTGTGGGCACCTAGGATAACCTCAGCCTCTGTTGTCCTAAAGTCGATAAACAAATCACACAAATGTCTTGGTAGGTATATTTTTTCTGGTCAGTTCCTTAATTGTCACCATTGACAGTTGGTTCTTTTTGTATTTTTTGCGTCATTCGTATTAAAATCATAGCGCTAATTTATTCAAATGAAGAATACGCGATTTTAGTTTATGGATATTGCAACGGTAACCGCCTCAGTTGGGGAATATCAACGACGAAATCCAAACCGCCGTCTTCCAGACAAGCAAACGTTTAATAGACCCTTCACAATTGTTCGATTAACAGGTGCTTTCCCTAAACTAACCTGTGGAAGAGAAGTTATGCGAAGAGATAATGCTGCAGAAATGCTTGAGCTTGTTGAAAATGATCTCGGTACTAGAACGAGAACAATTTCTGTACTTGCTGGACAAAATAGGACGGCTGTGCACAGACACTTTGCGAGAAAAATGACTGCATCCCTATCATTACCAAACGGTACAAGAACTTCTCCCCACGGATCTCCCCCAAAGAGTTCATCTTTGTGTATGGTGAAGCAATCATCTGGATACTCTTTCAAGAACCATTTTCTGTGACGAAGCTACATTTACAAGAGATGGAAGCAACAATTTGCACAACGATCACGTGTGGGCAATCGAAAACCGTCATGCCATTCGAGAAACTCATTTTCAGAGAAGTTTCTCCGTAGACGTTTGGGCTAGAATAATTAATAATGAAGTTATCGGACCACATTTCCTCGACGAAAATTTGAACAACAAGATGTACGGAATAACGATCTACCTTTACCACTTCAGGACATTCCTCTGCAAATCAGAAGGACATTATTCTTTTTACATGATGGTGCTCCGTCCCATTATGGAAGAGGTGGCACTAATTTCCTCAATAAAAAGTAACCAAATCGATGGATAGGTCGTGATGGTCGCATTGGTTGGCCACCACAATCCCGGGATCTCAACCCATTGGGCTTTTTCATGTGAGGCCATGTGAGGACACTTACCTATTCAATGGGAAAGACTAATTGCAAGGACCAACTCATTGAGAAGATTCATACAGCGTTTGATGAGGTGAAAAAAGAAACTATGGAGAACTGCAACTTACGTCATATAATCACTGATGGAAATGGAAACAGCAGAAAATTTTGCATCCGAATATGACATTAACCGTGACCTCAAGGTCAATGGTCAAGGTTAGTTCAAGGTCAAATGTTGATGTTTACTGTAATTTTTTATTTTTAACTACGGAATCAGAGAGAGTCTCAGTCTTTGAGTAGATACCTGATGGGACTTCTTAGTGACCTTGATTTTAAGGTCAAGGTCATATCGGTTTTTGGAGTAGCGACCCCTTATTTCGACGCTAGAAATAAGAGAGCGTAGAATTCTACATGTTATTATCTTAAACGTGACCTTAAGGTCAATGGTCAAGGTCAGGTAGAGGTCAAGTGATTATTCCGGCTGTAATTTTTTATTTTCGACGGAATAGAAGGAACTCACAATTTTTGTGACCTCAAGATCAAGGTCATTAAGAAGTATCATCAGGTATGTTCTCAAAGACTGTCACTCTCTCTTCTTCCGTAATAAAAAATAAAAAATTACAGTAAACATCAACATTATTTGACCTTGAAGTGAGCATTAACCTTGGTCAATGTCATTCGGATGCAGAATTTCCTACTCTTTCCATATCCGGGGTCGAAAAGGACTCGCAATTTAAAAAAACCGACTTGACTTTGATGTGACCTTGAGCTGTGACCTCAAGGTCAAGGTTACCATCGGATGCGTCGTGTAAAATGCTGAGACTTTTGTCCTCACCATTTATCCTAAAAAAGCTTTTCTGTTAAGATTTTCGGGGGTTTCCAAACTTTTGACTAATCCTATATGTATACATACCCGCTAACACATCTCGCTGCTGTCATCACTATAGAATCCGATATCAAGGTTCCTCCACACAACACAGCTTTGTCGCTTGTAATGGTGTGAATAGCTGCCTAAAATAAGAATTTTAAACATTGTGTTTGTTTCTATAAACATGTACATTGACGTAACCATATACGGCAAAGAATGTGGTTTGGCTTCATCTCCGTTGGCTCTTCTTCCATTCCGCTCTTTGGACTCTGCTTTCTCGCTTTTTGAAATGTGTTTTCCAAGCACATCCCCCTAACGGTAAAATTGATTTACACTTTACACAAGAATAAGAATAAAATTCCCTTTTCTGCTTCACGGTAGTCGAAGTATGTATATTCATTGAAAGATATCACCAGGAAGAACATAATTACAACATTGATTAAACCTTATCTGCAGATTAGATCAGATAAGAAAATATATACTAGCCATATAAATCAAATGAGTAGTTAGAGATTAGCAGTGTTGTAAATTTTCCTTTAACGCGTTTTTACTACCTTTTATTCTTCGATTCTGCTATTTTTATATTGGTAAAATTATTTTCTGTTCGTAATACTTACCCATAGTGACAGTGATACACTAATAATAACAAATGTTATCCCGGGCACATTAAAAGCTTTCATTTTCACACCTGCTAACGTCTATAACGGTTCATTTCTGACAAATAGCTTTATCTAAAATTATTTATCAAATCCTATCAGTTATTCTAACTTACTACAAGTCACTATTTTGACAGAGCTCTTTAAATATATGAATGTTGATAAGAATTATAATAAAATGAACATTTTATTGCACCTTTGTAAAATCTATAAACAATGCACATTTAATGTATTGGGTGTTCCACGTTTATAAGGTACAAGGAAAAAGATATGAATACATTTTGTTTGGGACACGGTGTATAGTCTGCACTAAAACATAAATAAAGTAACTAGCGTTAGTTAAATTAGCACTACTTGTATGTTTATGTACATGTAAAATTAAATTCCCCATGATTATCTAAGGTTCTTGTGCTTCCTATTGATTTAAATTATCAAAATTTAGATGCTTCCCAGTGACTCATGTTTTCAAAACGATCTTCTAACATCGAGCTAGTTGTAAATATTGACCTTTTTAATACTGATGTGTACATACAAAAGAATTTGACGGAAAAACAAAACAAAATTTGCTTGAAACAGGTTACCGGAAAGAAAAAGAAACAGTCTATTTTGTTTTATCGTTCTTATAAGTACTCTCATATTAGTCGTAACTGTATTAATTTTTATGACCGCCTGTGCTGAGCTGTCGAGTCATAAAAATGACCTTCGTCGATAATAACACAGGCTGATAAGATTTTAACCCATAAACACGAATATACTTTCTCCAAAAAATTTTCTAAACTAAATTTAAAGTGCTAAAATCGTGATTCTTTGACATATTTGAGATTATGCTAGATATTTTTTTTGCTGAAACCATTAATGGGACCTCTTTTGCGTGTAAAATCTCCAGATTGATAAAATGCGTAAAATACAGGCCATATATCGAATTATAAGACATTTTTTTAAGTTTATTACAAAGTTTGACGTGACAGAGTATTTTGGAGTTCAGAGTGCCGGCCAAATTTTGTCGGCCTGTGTAATAATTATTATAATATTAATTTTAACATGAGAAACACAATTCCAGTTACTCCCAGATACTTTGTTTGGAATTTCTGTTAACTTTACCGTTTCATCAACACTTCCAATTTTACCAAGCACAACGAGTTATTATACAGGGTCTTTTCTAAAGTGTGGCTTTAATCTGAAGAAGCTACAGCTAATAATAACGCTTTTCATAAAAAAATCTTTTCTGTGGTTATTAATAATTGTACCTTATTGTGCGAAAGTAGATCAGGACTTATTGTCATTTCTAAATGTCGTTTTGACATTTTAATAGTCGCTTTTGTTCTAGTTTGGTTTGGTGTATTGGTGTTAATTTGGGTTTTGGTGTAAGTTGAGGTTATTGTTGGTGTTTTCTCAAATTATAAAAAAAAACGGATATAAAATCGTATCTTCAAATAAAATTTGTGCCTACATCTGGTCTATTTGTTACTACTAACGCCATACCAGGGTTAATAATTGTTAGGGATATAGAATTAAAACATTGTTAATTTATAAGAGTTTAATGTCTCATAGATTTAGGATTTTCCAGAAAATCGTCAATGCAGCTTCACTTAAGCGATGTTCCCTCTAATCCATTCGATGAAACTTGTGACACGGGTAAATACTGGTGGCCATCCAATCTCACACCCTAGGCCCAAACCAAATGAAACAATTCCAACCTAAAAAAGAAACAATTGTCTTGTATACAAGTACAGGGACTCTCAAAGTGTCGATTCTGTGAATACCAATCGAGATCGAAATGATATTGATATATTGATACTCATGAAAGTTTTACTGTCGAAATAATATCGAATATCAGCTCATTCGAATCGATATAATATCGAGGAAATAATTTGCTATCTTCTTCTATCACAAGTCTGAAAATTTGGCAACCTAGCAAAGGCAGTAGGGCCAATATAACTAAGAATTTTATGGTATTTCCGGTTATACCGAAAACCGACATTAACTTTCTTATTTTAAATGGAACACCCTATAAGTATATTATTGCATTTTCGGATTCTACGTAAAATTAGAGGGTCACTTTATTAAATATTCCCTATACCTGGGAGTTATATATTTTGAGATATTAATTATTAAAGAAAAAATTTGACAGATGCAAGGGTCCGCGGAGATGCTAGTAACTCGTTTCAGGAGCCCGATATCAAGTGGATTTTTGGTACCTGCAAAGGGCATAGGTAACACTACATTATGGTATACCAACAAATTAAAACATTTAATACTAGGTGTTTCATTTTTGCTGTTACATTTTGATAACTTCAGACAACTATAACTTTGTTTACTTAAATGGAACACCCTGTATTTTTCTTTGATGTATGCAGATTGAAATTTCCTTTCAAGCCATATAAGCAATGTTAGGGTTGCCGTACAACTTTTAGAGATATTTGCAATTTTCTATTTTTTGGACAGTTTTTCTCGTATCAGACCTGTTGTCAAATTAGCCATGACCAGAAACACTTCAAAAACAATTAAAATAACTTGACATTTGTCAAGTTAGTCAAATTATTGTTGTGTAATAGCTTTTTTCTTCAAGCGTATAATAATACTTATATTATATAGTGCAACACCTCCTTTAGAAGCAGCCTATTGTTTAACTAGTACAAATATTTTTCATTTTTTAACTAGTAAAAAAATGTAACAATGTGTAGATAAGTATCCTAGCAACGAATTAAAGATTCAAGAAGCTTTGACGTTTCATTAAGTGTAAGTTGAAATTTGATGTCTCGTTGGGTCGTTTTTAAAATGTCTGAAGAAATGCAGTGCACACCACCAGAATTACTGGAAATTGCAAATACATCAGTGGCAACACTTACACCAACAAAGTCGAGAAAAATTTATGAAAATGCTTATGATAAATTCAAAAATTGGGCAAAAGAAAATAATGCACATATTTATTCAGAAAATGTGATGATAGCATATTTTACAAGATTATTCAGAACACTGAAAAGTTCAACTTTATGGGCGCAATATTCAATGGTAAAATCTAAATTAAACATAGAACACAATGTAAATATTGAGAAATATTCAAAATTAATTACATTTTTGAAACGACAAGGTGAAAATTATAAACCAAAAAAGTCGAAAGTTTTGTCTAAAAAAGAATTTGACGAATTCCTGAATAAAGCACCTGATGATAAATATTTAGCAACCAAGGTATGTACTTTTTAAATTATAGGTAGATATATATTTAACCTTTTTATATTTGTAATACAAAATTTTGTTATAATTTGTAAACTTCAAGTTATTTTATAGTATCCATTACGAGAATAATAAACAATTTTCGGAAATAAAGATAGCTCATTGGAAGAATGTTGTAAAAACTCATAAATATAGATGTCTTAAAATTACGTCATGTTTTAGAATTTCCTTGCATTTTCCAACTTTTTTTATTGTTACAAAATTAATAATTCTATATTTTTTAGGTTGCACTAATATTTGGAGTCACAGGAGCTTGTAGATGCGATGAACTCATTCAAGTAAAAGTTAATGATGTAAAAGATTTGGGAAATATAATATTAGTAAATATTCCCAATACAAAAACTAAAAAACATCGTTCATTTACCATAATTGGAGAGTTTTATTTAAATTTATACAGAAAATATGCTACTCTTCGGCCAAAAGACATAACTTTTGATAGATTTTTTATTAAATATCAAAATGGCCATTGTCATCGTGTTGTAATGGGC